AATTGGTGCCCTCTAAAGTGTGACAGCCGGGCTCCACGATTTTCTTTCGGCCGGCAACGCTAGAGTGGAAGAGATCCATCCGTCAGCATTGCGCTAGGGACCCCAAGCGACAACTGGTGATAGCGGCTATTCCACCATGGATTTAATTATCTTGCCAGAGATCAGAGTGTGGCTGCATGCGAGAGTTGTCCTTGAATGATGGACGATTACTGCCTGGCAATTTGTCGTTGACTCGTTGGTCGTCAAGCCAAAAAAGGCCGAGGTAGGGATGCCTACCCTATAGAATGGCCTGCCTGTTGGGGATGCAAACATCATGGGCATAATCCTTGCCACGTATTATTATTTGGCATATATGAATCAGAATCCAGTAAAGAAAAAATGAACCCCTACCTTTGGGCTTCTTTTCAGTTTCGACATACACATTCATGGAGCACACCTCAAACCCGCTTTGGCATTAACTGGCCATTTTCCCTCCCTCCTCTGGCACTAGGAACAAAAGATGATAACAGCTGCCAGCTATTCTGCCAGCTGGCATGCCTGCCGTTTGTTTCAAGTTTCTGGTATTTAAACTCTTCTTTTTGATTCCACATACTACATCTCAACTTCAATCAACGCACTTCCTCCCCAACTGCTCCCAAGAGACCAAGGGATACTCGTGCTTTTTCACCAAGTTGGCCATCTTGCGAAGGCTCCTGATACAAAACTGCCCAATTTCAGAAACAGAGCCACAATTCATACCTCCCAAAAAGAAAACTTGTCTATCACCTTTTCTCTCATGTTGCTTTCTTAAAGTTATACTAAGCTGGTCATCATGGCCGAGGCCGACAAGACGATAAAGATAGAACCCGACGCTACGGTGGCCCCAGCACTCTTGGTAAGTCTCCATTTGACCAGACATCTGAGCCTTTATCGGCGTTTTGCTCATCGTCACCGAAAGGTACTCGCTTCTCAAACACCTATTTCGAAACCTGCTCTCAACAATGCTCAAGCGTGGACCGGAGCTACAACGAGCTCAGCAGAGACCAACAGTCAAAACAAAAATGAAGCGCGAGACACGAGTGAGGTACATGTCAAGAAAGAGCCCGGCACGGAGAACGAGGCAGACGACGAAATCGCCGTTCAAAATGTAGTCGCAGAGGATCCTCGAAGTAACAGCGACGTAGTCCAACCTCTGCAAGACGTTAAACAGGAACAAAATGAAAACGAAAATATATCATCTTCCACTGTGACCAAGAATGTGACTGACTCTCGGCCAAGAACAACGCTAGAGAATGTCGCCTTGTCTAGCGCAGATGGAGAACAAGTTGGCATTAATAACAAATACCAACAAAACGAGGAAGATGACGACCTCGACAGCGAAGAATCTAGCGATACTGAGCTGGAGGATGAAAATGACAGTGATTTTGACTGCTCAGAAGATGAAGACAGAATCACAACCAAAGTTACCAAAACTGCGGCCGAGGAGCCCTCACGAAAGCGAGCCGCGCCAGCAAAAACTGCTCGTGAGTTCATTGCCAGGCTCCATAAGAAGCAAGATGAAGCGGCTCAAAAGAAACAAAAGAAGAGACGAAATAAACGAAAGGCAGAAGCTACCGATGGAGAAGCATCTAAGCGATCGAAAACAACCAACACTAGTTCTGGATCGAATATATTTGCCAGCCTCACACACCAAGTGGTTGGTGGATTTGATGGCGATGAGCCGCCAGTTTCAATGCCAGAGATTGATGCGAATACGCACCAGAAACAGTTTGCCTTATTAAGAGATAGTATTCCGAAGGGAGCAGACACTCGTCGAACCAAGACCCAGAATCGGGATCTCAGGGAAGCGGTAAAGCTGTTCGGATACAGGAAAGTGAAAGCAATGTCTGGAAATTGGCTGCTACAGGGGATGGAAACTGCTCTTTACGGATATCAACTAACCGCAGCAGCTTGGATGGTCAAAAGAGAGTGCGCTAGAGCGCAGCCATTTGGCGGATTGATTGCTGATGAAATGGGGATTGGCAAAACTATTACAAGCCTGGCTTGTGTGGTAGGGAATCCCCCGGAAGCTGAAGACTTGGAAACTTACACCAAGGGCACATTGGTCATTGTACCAAACTTTGACATTGCGCACCAATGGCTGAAGGAGGTCAAGAAGCATTGTAGCGATGACATCAGAAAGTTTGCTATGATACATCAGTCAAAAAATCATGCACCAGCCGCATCATACAAAAATCTAATGATAGTGTAAGTCATCCATCTAGCACCGAACTCATCTTTCCCATACCTTTACTAAATGGTACGCAGTATTACAACAACGAAAGAAGTCCAAGGGTACTTTCGAAGATGTCAAAGTGGCGACGAGCGCGAAGACGAAATACTTGGTTTAAATTGGTACAGGATCATTTTAGACGAGGCGCATAGCATCAAGAACTTGAAGAGTCTCAGTAAGCTGCCCCTTTAATTATTCATCAACAAATTTACGTTGACGTGCATGTAGCCAAGCAGTCTATGTGCGCTTTAATGGCGAAACACAGTTGGGCCTTGACTGGAACACCACTCTCAAACTCTGCTACTGGTAAAGAAAATCCGGTCTGCTCCTTTTAAAAGATGAAAAAAGCTAAATATATGCATAAGAGTTTATACCTTATTTGCGATTTATAGGATTTGAGGTAGAAGAGCACAAAAAGTCCTTTGTCAAAAAGTACATGGACGAGGTAAGCAGTTAGCCTCGACGATCCAGCTCTGAAACACTAACATGGTACGCTCACCCGCAGAATAAAGCGAATAAGAAATTTGAGGCCTTAATTTCGATCTTCATGTACCGAAGGTGTGAGATGAGATTACATACATTTGCTTCTATAACTAATCGCGTCGCAGGACCAAACGTGACACGTTTCTTGGTCACTCGATTGTCCCTATTCCTCCCAGTGAGATGCACGACATATGGGTTCCTCTGACAGTTGAGGAAGAAGCTATCTACACGTATGGCTTATTTATCTCCCAACATTTGAGTATAAATTAGCTAACCCTACTAGATTTGTGAAAAACTTGTCTTCAAGCAAAATGACTGAAACCGATGATGAACAAGACAAAACAGAAGAGTCCCAAAAAGCAGGTAATAGCAAGTCAAAAGCTACACCATCTAAGTCCGAGAAAAAAGAGATAAATGAAAAGCAACGAAAGAGAAATATGTACTTGAGATGTCTTATTTCACATCCATATAACATCGAGAGACTTTTGCGCAGTTTAGAAGAGGCGTCCCAAATCCAGGAACTTCGCGATAGAATACAGCAAGTTACGGGCACTAAAACAGTTCTTCAACAAATTCTTTCTCAAAATGAGGCAAAATCAAGCTTAGAAAGATATAGATCCGGGCTCACTCAAATGGGAAATTATACTAACGCTGCATTTGGGGGCATGTTCAAGTTCGACGAACACCTTGCAGCAATTCAGGACGAACTAGGGCTTAGGGATATGGAATGCATCAACTGCCATGCACCTGACCCGCAAATGCCAATGATAATACCAAAGGTACTTTCAACTCAATTCAATCGTATAGGAAATAATCCTAATATTTTAGTGCGATCATATTTACTGTGGCTTTTGCTTTTGGCAAATAATACGATCCGCGAGGCTCTGCAAAACGCCTGCCGTTATTCCACTAGTAAGTCGCGAGTTATTTCCAGTACTTGTGCATTGTATTTATTTTCATACAGACTTGCGTTGCAGATGGATGTAATATGCCTTTCGAATCTGCTAAGGAGCTGAAGACATTGCCAGCCGAGGTGGACTTGGCGCTAGCACTTAAAAATTATCCGGATATCGACGATAACAGGGTCACCTTGGCGCGAAAGAAGGACCAAATTGGCTTCTTCACCTCCAGCTATACCATTCCAGGGCTTTCGATGGTACCAAACTCCCGACTGACGACTACAATGGCCGTGTTATTAAGCTGGCGAGCTGACTATCCAGACGACAAAGTCATCGGTAACACCACCCAGAGACGTGAATTTTTAAGACTATTTCGCTAACAACTTTAATCACAGTGTTTACTCAGAATGTGACTACCGCCAAAGTGCTGGGAAGTATGCTTAAGCATGCCTGTATTGGATTTGTATACCATTTCGGAAGCATGGGTGCCCAAAAGAGGATGAAAGCTTTAGAGATTTTCAAGGAATCTCCAACCACAAACGTCTTTGTAAGTTACCAGCTTCCCCTATCCTAGACTGCTCGTTATGCTTATCATCAGCATAGCTTTCAGGCTTAAAAGCGGGCGGACAATCACTGAATATTACCTGCGCTAATCGAGTCATTATCATCGACCCATGGTGGAATGTGACGTCCGAACTTCAAGCAGCAGGACGTACTAGCCGCATCGGACAGACAAAGCACTGTTATGTTGTGCGAATATTCACATCAGCAGCAACGGATGCACGGGTAGCAGAGCTGCAAAATTCCAAGAGCGAGGAGGTTGACCATGCCCTGCAGGACGACGGCCACGTGCCTCAAGAACTAGACTACCAAGAACGCCTCGAACTCTTTGAAAGAACTCGGGGTTAAATTGGATTTAATATGGGAGCAGTTGAGTCGAGGGGTTGATACTCTTGCCAAAGAACGAGTGCGGAGCAAGCACGGACTGGTCGTACCAGGTCATAGATCCAAGAGCTATTGAAAATCAATGACAATTGGGGGTTTAGGAAAGGGAAGACGTGAAGCATTATTGAGTTTACATTCCTTAATGTCGTGGACGGCACAACTTGGAATTTTCGGAGGAAAATCGCTCACATCACGTGGCGTCGCAGAGACGACGATTTCATAGCTATAACCGTGCTGGAAAATGGTTCATTTTAAAATAATTGCTCGCCAAAAGGAATTAGGGCTCTCGGTTGATTTGAGGAATAGCGTGGATGAAGGTGCGATTGGCGGGCGCGCCTCTAATATTTAATACGATACAACGCCCGCTACACAACGGTTTTGCCTACACATGATAAAAGACATTACAATATCTTTTGAATGACGCCAATGTTGGTATAGTTGCGCAAGCCATTCCACATAGTACCAATCTTCCCAAATCCCAAACTCCATAATCCAACCATGATACAGTTAACTCAACTCCGTCACATAGCCAATTTGTCTTCTCGGATCATTGATGCCGGCACCTGGCCCATCAGCCAACCTCTTCGCCAACTTCTCCTGACTCTCCACCAATTTCCTCTGCGCTTCTAGCCGCCCCTTTATCCTCGCCTCCGCACCCTTATCAATCCTCTCGACCTCCTGCCTCTCACTGATCCTAATCGAGCTCAGTGCCCGCGCATTATCAACTCTTTCTGTATTCAGCCTTGTCTCCCATTCCAGGGCCTTCCTCTGTCTTGCCTCTTCGGCCTCCAGCTCTGAAGCTGCGAGTGCTCTGCTACGTGAGATGGATGATTCCGCAAGTGAGTGATGCTCTTGCAGCCTGCGGGTATGAGCGGCACTAGCGAGTGATTCTTCGACTTGGGCTTTGGACCGTACGGCGGCAATGTCTTCATTGTGTAGCTTGCGACGGCGCATGTCTTCCATTTCGGCCTTTTGGGCGAGAATTTGCTGCTCAACGGACGCAATTTCCCGCTTTCGAGCCATGACTATGGAAAAGTCTTCTGTTTCTTCTGCGAGACGCTCTAGACGGGCTTTGCGAGCTCGTTCCTGAACGGCCATGTCTTCGGGGAGGCCGATCGCGTCAGGGGGTTGTGCCCCGGATACGGCGTAGTAGACATCGCTGGCGCGATTGGCCTTGAGTACCTTGAGAAGGGCATCATAAATGTCTGTTTGCGGGAGGATTTTTTTGATATACATGGTGGGGGAGTAGGTGTATCCTTCCGAGGTGTAAAAGTTGAATGGTTTGTTAATGAGCTTCCACATGCCGGATTTGAGGAAACATCGTGTCGTAGCAACAGGGTCAGAGGCCTCAAAACACAACTGCAAGAGAGTCTTGTCATTTGACTTTATCGACAGATCAGATTTATTGTCGATGAGGAACGTCATGACTTTTTGCATAGTGCGTTCGCGATCCGCGTTCATTTCGCCTCTATTTGATCCATGCAGACATACCTCCGCGAGAGCACTGCGTCCCTCGTGTAAAGGACTGGGGAAATCAGGATCGTGACCGGACTGGACCAGGACTTTGACGACGGGCAGGTTGAGGTCACGGGAGGCGTTGTGGAGGGAGCCATCGTCCCTAGAGGGGTCAGCAGCGAGGAGGAGTGACATGATCTGTGCCGAGATATCGCCTCCAATGTCTGTAGCCATGGATAATGGTGTTCTTCCCAAGTAGTCCAAGACGTCGACTTCCGCACCTTCAAGTAGAAGGATCTTGACAAGATCAGGTCGTCGGGTCTGGATAGCAAGCATGAGTGGTGTAGTACGAGATAAACTCGTCTCCGCATTTACTTTGGCTGTATGTGCTAATAGTCAGTCATAAGGTTCTTCTTGTTTGCTGCGAAGGGACCTTACCACCACGAGCAAGTAACAGCTCAATCACGGAGGTGCTAACTCGCTTTTGGGGCTGTGAAATTGCCCATGTCAGAAGTGTCATGACTTCTTCCTCGTCAACATCTGCGTGAATCTTGTATGTAGTGGCTTGATCATGGTAGAGACCGGCATCAAGTAAAGTCTCTAGAATAGTCGTTGATCTCGGATATTGCGAAATGGCCCGTACAAGGACGGGCTCTGATCCCTGTTGGCTGCTTAAAACATCAATTCTGACGTCCCCGTCCCTGTATTCTGCAAACATTTTGAACAAATCAAGCACCTCATCTTGAGATAATGCCGTGTCGAAGATGCATTGAAATGCCAGCGACAATGTCGAAATAGTTGGTCGACACTCTAGAAGCTGCTTTGTCCACGAAACATTTGCTTTGGAGGCCGCTTGCTGAAGTGGCTCCCCATTGTTGTAATTCACGTCTGCGCCATGCTTGATCAGCAACGTGACAAATTTGTCAGCCAACATCTCAGTTTCAACTGTAGAGTTCCTCATTGTAAGAACTAATGCACCGCTAAGGGATGCACCGTGGGCTCCCTTGTCCAACAGAAGATTGGCTGTTTCATAGCCGCGGTCGGTGAACCACTTGGCAAACGTCTCAGTAGTGAATGCTTGATTGAAAGCACGGCTTATGTCTTCCTGTGACAGATTTTTTTCCAGGAGAAGTGCCAGCGATGACGAGGCAGAGTTGTTCACTGCATCTACGAGGGTCTTGCAACCATTGGCTGCTGGTGACGCGCCGTGATTCAGCAAGAGCCTGACAAGCCGTTCTTCTGGATCATCTTCATTGATGGCTTCATTTAATGCAATGTGCATATCGTCTGTGGGCCGCAAGCCTGCTTTGATGAGATCGTTGACAACTTGGAATCGGCTATCACGACTCAGGTTCCAGCACGCTTTGAGCGATCTCGACAACGTGGGCTGAGAAACTTTCTTCTGTGAAAAGGTTAGCAAAAGACAGCACCGTAGATTGGCGATATGCCTACACACCTGGTGGCTTCCTTCATCCCAGAGTCCTAGTAGCAATTCTAGGCTGCCAATAAAGGCGCTCCTCGTGGCGGCAACAACGCATTCACCATTGTTAAAGTTGGGGTCCGCGCCAGCAGCGAGTAGCACTCGCAATACCGCTTGGCCGTCTTCGCCATATCGAGCCGCAGATTGTAGTTGGGCATCCACCAAGTCACCAGTCACGCCTTTCTTCAACAACTGCTCAAAGACGACAGCGCGCTTGCTCAGATCTCGAACCTCGGTGGCAGCCTGGAAACCAGCCTCCATGATACTTTTGTTCGTGTGTCCATCCTGTTTCAAGAGCACACTTAAGATCTCTGCCGAACCTCCACGGCAGGCCTCGATGATGGCTTGGCCATTGTTGGTTGCGATGCTCGCGCCGTGCGCCATGAGTAAGTCTCCAAGATTAACATCCCCGTCTCTGGCTGCTACTAGCAGAGCACTGGATGCTGTTTCTGTTGACACGCCAAGTCTTAACAGATTCTTACACATGTGATGTCTTGCCGTTCGGTTTTTGACCTCCATGGCCTTGACAAGCATGGCACTTCGAGTTTCCAGAGAAGAGTGTGATTTCGACAGCAGCAGGTCCATCGTTTCAGGTGATTCCTTCGATATTGACAGTGACAGTGCCTCACCGTCCGACGTATCAGCAGCCGCCGCCAAGGCATTCTGTAGCGATACGTCCTCGGGGTACGTAGTGATGGCGTGCACCAAAGCTCTGTTGATTTCGAGAGGATGCGCACCAGCATCAACGAGTTTTTTAGTGAGAGTCAGTCTCTCCATAGGATCAGTAATTCGAAGTACATGCGGAAGCGCTGCCCCCAGTGCGGCGGCAGAAGCGGGTGTTTTTGATTCCAGTAACATATCGGTAATCTTGACGTTTGCGCCAATGACGGCATGGCAAAGGGCAGCGGCTTTGTAGGCATTTGGATCTGCACCGCTGTCGAGCAGAATCTTCAATGTCGACAACGACGCTTTGCTAGCATTCGTCTTTAATAGTGACTGGACCTCGTGTACCAGCACCCAGTTCAAATCTTCCTTGTGCTTGGACTTGGTTAAGATGGCGCGCAGCTTCCAAGCCTTACCCTCCGTCGATGGAAGCGGGGCAAATTCATTGAATGCGCAGGTTACCGTTGTTGGGGATGGTCGGCTGTTTGCAAAGACCATATCCAGGACCTTTGGATCTGGGTTCGAAACCGCCTTCTTCGCCATCGCACCTTCAAGCAGGTTAATGTCGGCGCCTCCTTGTTGCAATAACAGTCGTAACAGCGACATATCGACGGGCTTTTCGGAAAGGGTTTGTGACAGCGCGGTTCCAATTTCCTGAGCCCCAATTACAGCACCAGCGTTAATCAGCATTGACATCATCTCAAAACGCTCCCTATGGTCTGAAACCTCCATGACATCCATCACGTGGACAGCAGCAGTTTGTGGCGATGCTTTATGCAAGAGTGACCCGAGCAGTTTGATATCCTTTTGCTTGATGACAGCAGCCAGTCCCGGGCCGTGGCTGAAATTGATATCAGCATCGTGCTCCAACAGGAGCTTGATCAGGGCATTGTCCCGTTGTGAAGCATCTTCATTGATTGCGTCATGCAACGCTGCGTGGAGACAAGGGCCGGACAATGATCTCTTCAAGAACAGTTGGGCCATTCGATAGCGGTCTTTGGGCGACAGCTTCTTGGACATAGGGAAGACGATTGACAAAGTTTTAGCCGTTGGCTGAGCGGAAAGAATCTTATCCGTCATGGCCGCGTCGGCTCGCGACACTGCGGTTCGCAAAGCTTCACCAGATCTATGGTCAACGGAGGCGACCTCATGGCGTGGTCTCCCGTTCGAGAGCCAAGTGTTGTTCGAACCATTGGGGGTGATAGGGGTGGACTCTGGATAGACGGGGTTTAGTAACAAGTCAATAGACTCCATGTCGCCGGCTTCAGCCGCGTCTATGAGCACATCGTCCAATGCGACCCCTTTTGCACCTTTCCGCAAAAGCAAACTAAGAACCATGGCTCGCGTCTCAAACGGCGCTTGCTTCGCAATCATAGTCACACAACTGGATGCCAAAGCAGGGCTCAACTTGGCTGAATCAGTCAGCAGAGAGCTCACCAAGTCCAGTTGACCACGAGCGATCGCTGTCTTCAGCACGGTGGCATCATTGTATTCAATTGATGCGCCGTATCTAGCCAAGAGTTTTGCCATTTCGTAGAACTGTGTTTCGCATGCACTTTCGAGGGCCTGTGACAACACATCGCCCTGCGCCCCTGCGCATAGAAGCAATTCCGCCGTGGCAAGTTTTGTCACTGGGTCGAGTGATGGGTGCTCATAAAGGATTTGGAATGCCTCGTCTAGCCCAGGCCCGTGTGGCGGGTGGTTCCCCATGATTATCGCCAATGCGATGTCTTGTCGTCCAAGTGTAATGGCCAATTTCAAGGCTTCAGCGTGATTGTGGTTGCCATCCGCCGTCGACCTGCTAAGATGCAACACGGTTTCTAGACAGGCTGATCTTGCTGCATCACACATACACGCTGATGTCCACGCCGCGTTTGGTCGGCTTTCCGAACGCAATAGCAATCCAATCATGTGCGCCTGGCTCGGAACAACGCAGGCTTGGCGAAAGGCGTCCTGGCCTTCAGGTGTTTGGGAAGCACAGGCTCCATATCTTAATAGCAACTCGGCAACTCGTGTGTTTCCAGTGCGTATAGCAGGAGCAAGTGCCTGATCGATGGAGAATCCGTCAGCGTGCGGGAGTAATACCTGCAGCATCTCATACTGGTTGCCTTGGACAGCAAGCTTCAGAAATTTTAAGCGATCAACAAAGGTCTCGACACTCTTTCTCCGGTTTAAGATACCGCCCTTTTGCTTTATTTGATTTCCACTGAAGTCAACGCCCGCCGCAGACAATTTCGACATCAGCGCCTCCGCCACACCCGGCGACCCTGAATTGGCTATCCACGAACTGAGCACCTCGAGCACCTCGCGAGGATCCCAGGTCTTGCCCTTCTTCAAATCATTGGACGAAAACGCCTTGCTTAAACTACTTTGACGCCGAGACTGCGAGAGCTCGGACGCTCGTCGTTGCATCAGATCCTCGGCTACTTCGTCATCTTTTGGTGTCCAAAATGAGGGCGGGTTGTGGGGTCTCGTGAGAGGTGCCGTAGCTGGAGGTAGGTGGACTCCCCATTCTTGCGAGAGCTGGATAATGCGCCGCTGGCGATCGGTTGGCGTTAGGAACGGCATTATACGCTTGAGGGCCGCATTGGATGTACGATGCACTCGCGGATGATGCGGCCGGGATGACTATGGTTGACTTTGAACTGATGTTGACGAAGCTTGGAGCTGTCAGATTCGATTGTGCCTGGGTTTTCAAAAAAGGAAGGAGCTAAGTCTTGGCAGAGTCCGAGACAAAGAGCGACGACACGTGCAAGTAAAAAGACACCAAACAATGAAGAGTCTTTTGACGGTTTATCGTGTTACAAAATTGCATTTTATGACGACGGCCAGATGCCAAAAATACTTGTTCAATTCGTCTCGTCCTGCTGCGACAGCCTCCTTTGCTTATTCTTTTGTTCTTGGCCCCTCAGCTGCTCAACGTCACCAGCAAAACACAGCCAACGGTGGCACACCCCCCTGTCATGGTTTCAGCTTGGCCTTGTTTCTCTTCGCAAACGATCCACTCCTCACATTCCCTTGCCCATCTACCCACCCAAGTCACCACTTCATAATCCCATTTCGAGCGCCCGGAATCGGACTCGGGGCCCCGCTGGATGCCGTGGCTTGCAACACTTCCATGGCCCCAGCCGTCATCCGGGCCTGCAAGTCCCACCTTCGCGTGCCGTCTACGCGGGTCTTCAGGCCTCATACCAAGGGGACGAGGACCCAGCAAGGTAGATAATTTTGGATATGCCTGGCGCCGCCGCATGAAGTTGGGCTTCTTATTGGTTGGTATTTTCCACTCAGACTCGTCGGCCTTGACCTTTGGCCAGAAACCTCATCAGGCACAACTGCCGTGACGATATCAACTATTTCGGGTTCTGTATGCCTCCGAACCAAATAAACCTTGCCCTTGCAATTACATTTTGAATCATCGAAACATCATTTGGTGTTCTCTGGTGCTAAAGCATTGCAGCAACATTATTCATTGGTGATGTGAGTGCGGTGTTGTCGCGGCCTCTGCTGCACAGCCCCAAAGTCCCGCCACAAAGCTCGCCTCTAGTCGTAGTGATTGCGGATGCGTTTGCGTGGCCCGGCAAGGCTGGTTCGCAGAATCGTTTCCAGATCGAATAGAACCTCGGCGCAGATTAATGCTATCCAGCCCATGTTCCATTTGAGCCGTTACCGATCATCGCTCGATGCATTGGTGCCGAGAACAGGGGTTATCATGAAACAAGGAGCCTAGGATGCCTTTATAACCTCGATTGAAAATAGCATCCCGTCGATTCTATATACATTATCCATATTGGGTAGTGGTTAATGTGCGCTGCCGGGCTACATACACTTTATTTGTGAAATTTTAGAACTTGAAAAGAAAGGAGGAAAGATCTAGTGCTCTAGTGTTATAATACTATAGCCCGTGCTGACAGTAGGGTGTAAAAGGTCCACGGGTACCCGTGTGGGTTGCTTACCCGTGGGCTTTGGGTAGGTATGGGTAGGAAAAAAAGACCCAAATGGATCCATGGGGGAAAATGGGGTACCTATGACTATCTATTAGAAATATTGGGTATTTTTGGGTACCTAAATAAGACCTATATAAGTTAATATAACTTACTTTATGCGGGTATCCATGGGGTACCCATCTTTATATTGGGTTACCCGTGGTATACCCAAACCACCTACATGATAAAATGGGTAGCCCACGAATAACCCAAGAAAAACTTGGATACCCACGGGTGCCCACGGGTACCCGTTTTTACACTCTAGCTGACAGCATAGCCTTTGTTAGCTCAGCATCAAATAACCACAACTGACACTCGAGGGCCGAGAGGTGTTGGTAACATTGATACTTGTATCAGCATGTTCCATCACCCGTACCTATCTTTACATCAAAACACTCAACACCAACACGGCCAATCACCCACATCCCAAGCGCGTCAAGAAATTCAGTTCTGTACTACATATTATTGCTAGACTTGATTTGATGGAGGGAAATTACATGAAACATTATTTTTAAATTGACTCCTCTGCAAAGCGTGCGCATCCCTTTTAACGTCATTACCATGTTTAACGGCCTCATCGCCTTCTCCATCACTACGCAAGCCGACCCCCCCGTCACCATCAAAGGTCTTCAGACCTCACCAGAATCACCGCTTCCCCCACTCCTCCTCCTCCACGGCTTCCCGCAAACCCGTCACATGTGGCATCGCATCGTCCCACACCTCACCACCACGTACAACCTCATTATCCCTGACCTCCGCGGCTATGGCGAATCATCCAAACCGCCCTCTATAGCGGCCTACGCCAAATCCGCCATGGCAAAGGACATGATAGCCCTCATGAACCACCTCAACCACGAGACGTTCTTCACGACCACGGCGCCCGGGTCGCCCACAAGCTCCTCGTCGATTATCCCATCCACGTACGCAAAGCCATACTCCTCGACATTTGCCCCACGCTCTCCATGTACGAAGCTACCAGTCAAGAATTCGCGACTGCGTATTTCCACTGGTTCTTCTTAATTCAGCCTGCGCCGCTACCAGAGACGCTGATATCCGCCACGCCGCGCAAGTTTGCAGAGCTGTACATGGGCGGGAAGGATGGGAAGCGGTTAGATGTCTTCGACGAGGCGTGCTACGAGGAGTATGTGAAGCTGTTTGAAGATGAGGATACGGTGCATGCCATGTGTAACGACTACAGGGCCGCTGCGACGGTGGACCTAGATGAGCAGATGGCGGATTTAGAGGGGGGAAGACTGATCAAGTCTCCCGTGAGTATAAAAGTGTTTCGATGCGATGGCGGAGTGGAGGAAGGTTGTGGATGAGGGGGTTGCGGTGGATGGGTATAGTGTTGATAGCGGGCATTACATGCCAGAGAAGGCGCCTGGCGACGTGGTCAAGGCGGTTTGTGAGTTTTTCGTGTAGGCATCTATAAGAATTGACATCATTATAAGATTATATGGCCATACACTGCGCGTTGGCCTTGCAATTCCATAGTGTCGTGAGACTTGGTCTGATGAGTGGTGGAATTTCATCCACCATTGATTTGACTCTGAGCCACCGCCGCCGACAAGGCTCCAGACCAAACTCTCGTGCCTCCTCAGTCTTTTTCCCCAAAATCAAACGACCAAAAGAGTCATCGGCCAGTCGTGGGATTGAACCACCTCATAGCTTCGACTTCCGGTCGGCTCTCGCGGTGTAGTCCCCAATCCGTAGCCGAAACATGCAAAACCCTGAAATCCAGCCAGTGTTGCACATCATGAACCGCATTGGACTGCTCCCTACCCCCTCCATACACATCAATGGACAGCCATCGGAAATCGAGCTCTGCCCCTCACTGAACCCAACATATTGCTTACCAATGGCTTACGGCTCGGTGAAACTAACTCGGGCTTCTGCAAGTCCCCTCCCTGAGTGAAAATCCCGTTCTCTCATACCATCCTGACACATGGTTTACATAATGGACACAATTTCATGTCGTTTCTCATCTTAAACAGACCTCGAATCGTCCGCGCCTGTCCCATCATCACAAGCAATTGGTTGCGCCTCGCGTCCCCCGTCTGCCATCATCAACCACCACCACCACTGACCTACCCCGCCATCACCTCATCAGTGTCGTCGCCCTCGACTTATACCCACCATTGCCGGCAACTATCATCCTTCCCACCTCACCCATCAGCTCCAACAACCTGCTCATACTCCCAGACCCAGCCCGCCCCAAAACCACCCAGCATGGCCCCCGTCCCAGCCACAATGAAGGCCGTCCAAGTCTCCAAAACCGGCGGCGTCGAAGTCCTCGAGTACAAGGACGTGCCGGTCCCTACCCCCAAGGAGGGCCAGGTCCTCGTCAAGAATGAGTTTGCAGGCGTCAACTTCATCGACACCTACTTCCGCAGCGGCCTCTACAAGCTCAACCTCCCCGTGATCCTCGGCAGCGAGGCAGCCGGCGAGGTCGTATCTCACCACAAGGACGTGACCGACCTGCCCGTCGGCACCAAGGTCGTGTACATGGACTCGCAGGCCTATGCGCAGTACACGGCCGTCCCCGCATCCAGGGTCATCGCCATCCCGGCCGGCTTGACGACGGAGCAGGCGGCCGCCTCGTTCCTGCAGGGCCTCACGGCGTGGACGTTTATTCGAGAGGCCGGCAACGTGCAGCCGGGCCAGTGGGCGCTTGTGCACGCCGCCGCGGGGGGTGTTGGGCAGCTGCTCGTCCAGATGCTCAAGAGCCTGGGGGCAAAGGTGATTGGCACCGCCAGCACGCAGGAGAAGTGCGACCTGGCCAAGAAGCTCGGCGCCGAGTGGACGGTGAGCTCCAAGGACGATGTGGTTGCGAGGGTGAATGAGATTACGGGCGGACATGGCGTGGATGCCATTTTCGACGGCGTGGGCGCGGCCACGTTCGACGCCGACTTGCAAATGATTGCTTTGAAGGGGCGTCTGGTGTCTTTTGGCAACGCTGTAAGTGACGAGTTTTTCTGCAAAAAAAAAAAAAAAAAAAAAAGGGCCGCGGCATGTTGTGTTGTGCATCTCCTCCTTTGCCAATCGGATGGCTAATGTCTTGTGTGACTTTGGTAGTCTGGTCCGGTGCCTGATTTCAGCATCTTTCGCCTCTCTGACAAAAATGTCACGCTTCTGCGACCAAAGGTTCACGGCTATGTTTCCGAGAGGAGGGATCTGGAGAAGTACTCTGCCGAGTTATTTGAAAAGATTACCTCTGGCCAGGTTAAAATTGCCATCCATGACATTTATCCCCTGAAGGAAGTTGGGCGTGCTCACTCTGATCTTGAGAGCCGCAAGACCAAGGGCAAGCTTCTCCTTAGTGTCGAGTAAGGCAACGAGTAAACAAGAAAAATAGCACAATAGCAAAACGGAACCCCCTATTAATTGAATTTGAGTTTTATTTAAAAGTAAATATTCACCCATCATCTCCTGCTCAAATGCAGTCTAAACTGGGGTCATCCATCATCAAAGTATCCGACTTGTATAGTCCCATCCATTCCCTTATGTATCCAACAACAACAACAACAAAAAAAAACACCATTTTTAAGAAGATGGTGTCTTGATAGCAGCCAGGAGCTCAGCCGGGGGCTGCTGACGGTACCCCTCAGGGTTGTTCTTGACCCATCTCCATAGATCCTCACACGCCTTCTCCATACCGAGCTCCGTCTTCCAATTGAGCTCCTTGTTGGCAAGGGATGGATCGGCTGTGAGGTCGAGGACATCACCCTGTCGGCGGGCGACTACCTCGTGATTCAGCTTTTTACCTTCGTCTGCCCCAAGCACCACGGCGCTGAATGCCTTGATCATCTCGAAAACAGTGCTGCCTCTGCCAGAGCCCAGGTTCCACTCCTTGACACCGGGCTTATTCTCGCGGAGGTATTTGAGGGCAGCAAGGTGGCCGCGGGCAAGGTCGACAACGTGGATGTAGTCACGGATGGCGGTACCATCACGGGACGGGTAGTCTAAGAGTTATTAGCAACAAGAGTTATAGTGTGGACTTTGCATCGCATGCTTCACGACGTACCATCGCCAAAGACGAGAAGCTTCTCGCGCTTGCCTGTAGCCACCTGGCCCAGAAGCGGCAGCAGGTTGTACGGGACCCCCTGGGGGTCTTCGCCCATGATACCACTTGGGTGCGCGCCGCAAGGGTTGAAGTATCGGAGCAAGGCACCGTTCCACTCCTCGTATGGTTGGCCGGCCTTCTTCAGCTTGTTCCTCTGGGCATTGACGCAGTCCCTGATGACATCCTCAATCATAGACTTGGTACGTCCGTAGGTGTTGGTAGGACCAGTGGGGCAATGCTCGGGGATGGGAATCATGTTGGGGAATCGGGTAGCGTCGCCGTAAACGGTAGCCGATGAAGAGAAGACAATGTTGGTGACGTTATTCCGCTCCATGGAGCGGAGAAGGGCAATGCTGCCACCAACATTGACGCGATAGTACTCGAGGGGAATCTCGCCAGACTCGCCGACGGCCTGGAGATGGTTAGTTGCTGTCATCAAGAGACACAGAGTGGTTCAGTGGCAGTCCGCGCCGCAAGAGATTTTTGTTTACCTTCAGAGCCGCGAAATGAATCACGCTATCAATGGAGGGATGTTTGGCGAAGACATCGTCGAGGGCCTTCTCATCGGTGATGTCGACCTTGTAGAAGACGGGGCGGCGGCCGCAGAGCTTCTCAATGCGGTCGAGGGCGACCTCGGAGGAATTATAAAGGTTGTCGACGATGACGACATCGTAGCCGTTCTCGAGCAACGTCAAGCTGGTGAAAGAGCCAATGTAGCCGGTGCCACTGCAGGGTGCGTAGAACAGGTTCAAGTTAGCTGGCCGGTCTTGGACGTGAGGCGGATACCGTGGCATCAAGGGGTCACACGGTGCCCCGCGGTTGCGACTTGGCGATGGAAATGTCTCTCAGAGTGCTCGGGAGGGCCAAGTGGTCACGTCTTCGGATTGTGGGGGCTTACCCGGTGACGAGAACGGTTCCAGCAGACATCTTGGCAGATTTATCGACTGTCGGAAGATTTGAGCGAGAAGTTACGTCTTTACCGGCGGCGAAATTCTGGCGGGGAGCGGAGGGTATTGATTATTGATTGATATGCTTGGTGAGAAAGTCAATGAGGGGCAACGCCGGGAAATTGACGTGGGGATTGCAGCACGAGTGGAGCGACAAATCGAGAGCCGGCTTGACGGGAGGGAGGAAACAAGCACTCGAGGAGCGCGGGTGAAGCTGTTGAAGAGCGACGGAGTGAGACGAATTTGCAGGCAGGAGATGGGAGCTGGTGAGCCGGGAAGTGGTTGTTTCTTTTTTGAAAAAGGAAAACGAGGCCGATGTACAAGAAACAAGGAGAAAGGCGCGGAGTAGGACGAGTTAGCGCATGACAGCGACGTCTATCAAACAAACCCATGCCACCTCGTAAATTAGTCCAGGGATTTGAACAAGCAATGGCGGGCGCCACATGCGTGCGACCACAAAGGTGACTGTTACTAGGTCCCGTACTCTATGCGCTAATAACTAGTGGCAGACTGGTACCCGTGTTGCCGTGCCTGGGCTCCTGCAAACAACAAGCATCATCTTGATGCTTTATGGAGGCGCTCCTCTTTTCTCCACGCCTTGCAACGGCATCAATTGGTGTGCTGCCAAGCCCTTTGTAATATCACCGTTCGCGGCTGAACAACTATTGGCTCTGCTGAATGATGTGATCAGCCACGGGTAACCATGTCTCAATATCCATGGCATTGATATTTACGTTGCTGGTGGGGGCGATACGGGCTGGACCTCAAACTGCTTGACCCGTTGGAACATGGGAACCCAGTTGAGTGGTTGAAGCCACAGGGTCGTGACTATGGAGCACCTGGGCATTGTCCGTATTTTATGATGCAGTCTGCATGTTGTATCTATGTGTATAGTAAGTGGTCGACTTTGAGTTGGACGGGCCGAGTTGTTTTGAACTATGACTGCATACATTAAAGGCGCAATGCTTGCTGCGTAATGAAGTTGGTGTTACGACCAGGTGTACATGAGCTCGCCAGACGGGCTAATGGGATGTTGTTAGTTAAGGCTTGGTACATACGCATCTAATGTACGGAGTAGAATCGCATGCCTTGTGACAGATGGTGTCGCGTCCCTAGTGTGCAGAACTTGTCGACGTTCCTTAGGTATGTATCAATTGATGTTCATTGCCGGCTTTGCTCGTGGTGTTCATCGTGGCTGTAAAAGACTTACGTGCCACGCGGGTTGCAAAAAAGGCCGCACACCTGTGTGTGTGGTTGTGGTTGCGGGGTGTGCGGTCTTTTTTGCAACGTGGTGCGTGCTACGGAGTAATTGGGCTGACACCACCCCTTTGAATGTGTTAAGGTGCCGCCTTTGTATCTACTCCAGAATACCCTTGTCGAGTGCTAATAAGCCTAATAATACTGCCAAGAGGTATGTACCAGGCACGATTAAGAGTACTTTTATTATCATAATAAATACGTGAGCATATATGTACTTACCTAACACACCTTAAACACATTCAAAGGGACAAGGTTGCCAGGTTCCCGCCTGTGGATCCCGGGCCTGGGAATATCACGTGACCTCACATGCATCGTGCTGTATGCGCCGCTTAAACATCGGGCGCGACACGCCGCCTGTCTGAAGGCGCGACAGCCTCGACGGAACAAAACAACGGTGACAACCGTCACGCCGCATCAGATCCGCACTAGAAAACATATTGAGTGTATTTGCTTTTTACCTTTTATAGCCAGTACATGTCGTTAAAAACATTCGCCCTGCACACAGCGGAAAACCTACATCGAAATTGCCACTTTTTCGTCTGTTCACTGCTGCGAACCCTGTCTCAGCTCCCTTGACACCATGTCCAGCTGTGAAGGAGCCTCACAGCAACATGCCCTTTGTTGAAGACAGCCACTGCAAGGATCAGCCTTTCAAAGAATCGACTACCATTCATACCACCATCAAACGAATCGTCTGTTGGAACAATTGCTCTCGGATGACACCGAATTAGTTGCGTTGCTATGTCGAGTTGCCGGCGAGCTGTGCTGCTTCACCTTGACCCTCAACATCGACTCACTTGACTTGAACCTCATAAACGCTATACACGACATACCTCTGGAAAATTCTCGCAACTATTCCAGTAATATCTCAGAATCGGTTTTTTTTTTCTGCGGCCTCACTTTTACTCCATTTCACCATTGCGGAGGCCGCCGTTGCGTCTCAACTGACTCCAAATGCCCCCTCGTCCCGTTCGTAGACGACCGACGAGGTTCTCCGTTAGAGAACCCGAAACACCATCAAATCCAAACCCGCTCACTTTTCACAAACCCAACTTACCCCCGCTGCAGGGAACCCCAAGCTCCAGGAGACAGTATTCGTACGGCGCAGAGGTTGAGCCCATGCCATCACGACCTGGTCATGGTCTGTCAAGAAGCCAAGCTCGAGATATTGGCAGCGCCGTCAGAAACGTGCTCACGGCACCCGGGGTCCATGAAGAAGACGAAGACCAGGATGAAGATGAGCGGGAACAGACTCAAAAACCGCAAAATCCTAAAAATGCCCAACCAGAGCCGGATGAATTAGCCGGTGGCCAACTGTCCCGGCCACCACATCTACCTTCTTGTATGGAAACACTCTCGCCATGAAGCTATGTGAATCTAACTGTTTGTAGATCTATCGGGTCGTCCCAGTACAGGACTAGCGACCCGCCCCTTGCTGTCACTGAGAAATCCCAGGCCTGATGGTAGCGATGGTGACGATGCACGAAGTTTTGGCATTGAAAGTGATTTCTATGGTGATGCAACGATAAGTTCGACGCCTAGAGCTCCACTACCTCAACGGCCAGAATTACGCGATGAAGTGTCAGGAGACTCTGTCTCTGCAAATGAGAGCCCCCCACGTTCAACAATGAACAAACCGCCTGCTACAGTTAGTGAAAACGAAGAAGTAGATCTTGTCAGACATCCACAGAATGCCTACAAGGGACCAGCAAAGTCAATCGTGGGTCCATCACCATTGCGTGCACCACCTCGCCGGCCACCGCAGCAGTCTGCTCAACAACCGCGATTTGAACAGCAAGAGGGGCAAAAAAGGGAAGAAGAAGAACAAGACGACGACGAGGAGGAGGAGGAGGAGGAGGAGGAGGAGGAGGCAAACGAACCGGAGGAGCGGGAGGGAAGTGAAGAGACCGATCTTATTAGACGTCGGGAACCTAGACCCATTGTGCAGACTAATACCCCAGCTCCTGGACGCTTACAGCCAGCATCACGAGATACTGTACAGAGAACGTGGATAGGTGGACCGTCGCCTGCGCCGCCGCATCCGAGGCCTATACCCAGATTGCCACCTCCTAATACCGCCATGGGCACGCTTGGACCGACTGAGGGTACGAGGCCGGATGGGATACGGCGTAGACAAATGTCGACTGGAGCACCATTAGAACCCCGCCAACGAAGCAACCGTGAGCGTCGAGGTCCAAACTTTGGAGAGAATAGCTCCGAAGATGGCCGGTGGCTTGACAGAGCGACTGCAACTACAACGAACCTGTTTGCACAGGCCAAGTTTTTAGTGAATAGCAGTCCCTTCAGCCTGGGCAGACGATATCCAACTGATGAAAGCGAAAGGGATGCGGCTATTCAGAGAGACATCACCGAAGCCGAAGCCGAGGTCGCGCGTGAGAGACTAAGGGAGGAGGAAGAGGCTGCCTACCATCGCAGTTACCAGAGATGGTTGTGGCTGAAGTCTTTTGTGCCGTTCATAGGCCGAGAACAAACCGATCATGACGGCGCAGGTGCTCGGCCGAGCAATCGTTGGAGCACTTTCGGTCTGTTACGCTTCTTGAACCCAATGACGTACGTTCGGGCCATTGGATGGTTGATCCAGGCAATACTGGACTGGATAATGGAACTTGTCCACTTCATTATCCCAGCTGGCGTTTGGGACCAACTATCGTCAGTATTTGGATTTCTGCCGCATATACTGGCCGGGGCGCTGGCATTTGTGGCAGCCTTTGCCTTGGCAACTCAACTCGCTGGCTCGACGGACAGCAGTTGGGCCCCCAATGCCGTCGAAGCGACACTACGAACGTTTGATGATGTGCGATACCGAATCAGTGATCTGATCCCAACTGTCACCTGGCCGAAGCGAGACCGCTGGGTAGACCTTGAGGACCTATGGGAAGATGACGACTCGTCAAGAGATAAGCTTCAGCACTTTCTCAGTCGCATGGAGGAGGAATTTTTGACATTAAAGCGGTCAGGAAAGATTCATGATGCTTCTCTCAAGAAGCTGGAGAATATCCTTCCCAGCATTGTTCACATGGAACTGAAAGACGGCAGACCAGTCATTTCGGAAGAGTTTTGGCATGCCTTGCGAGATTTGATCCACGGAGACGGCGGATTCTTTGCTTTTGATAAGGTTGGAAACGAGTATGTCGTGTCATCTGATCGGCAGTGGAGCGCAATCACCTCGCGACTGCTTCGCGATCCAGCATTTACAACTAAGCTCAACCTTACGGCATCGGCACTGGAAGATAGGCTGAGCCGCAAGATGACCACCTTTTGGGACAAGTGGGTCAAAGACAATGATGACAAGATTGCCCATTTGCTTGGAACAGCAGTCGATCAGATCAAGTCTGCTGGGTCGCAAAGGGAATTTGAGGATCGACTCAACAAGATTGTGAGTGAGCAGCTGTCTCGACGAGAGGAGAAAGAGAACCAGAATGGCAAGTTTGTTTCTCGAGAAGAGTTTCTTCGACACCTGAGAAACGAGTTTGCCAGTCTATCGTCCCAGGTCAGAGCAGAGCTTCACGATTTGCAGCCGCAAATGGAGCGTTTAGTGCAACAGACCGTCGACCTTGCCACCAAAGACCTCACCAACAGCATGAGCCGAGCAGACATCACGGCCCTCGTCAACAATCTCATCGGCAAGGCCCTCGCCGATGTTAACCTCGAAGCCATGGCTCTTGGTAAAATCCACAACCACTGGGGCACCGAACTGCGCAATCAAGTCAATTACTTTGCTGTCGGGTCTGGCGCCAAAGTTGACCCCCGCCTCACGTCCGCCACCTGGAATCCTCGAGGCGCGGCCATCACCCCTCAACAATACAAGCATGGTTGGCGTGGATCAGAAGCCTTCCCGCCCATAGCAGCCCTCGAACCTTGGGAAGAGGAGGGTGACTGCTGGTGCGCAGCGCGCTCCGTAAACCACAGGGGTAACCCTCACGGTGCAACACTTTCAGTCCAGCTCCACCACTCCATCATACCACAGCACATTGTTGTCGAACACATCCTGCCCGGCGCCACCACCCAGCCCGGCGCTCGGCCGAAATCCATCGAGGTATGGGCCGAGATCCTCGACCCCGAGGCCCGTGAACGTATTCTCGACTTTGGATCAGTCTACTTGCCAGAAGATAAGAACGACTGGAACTACACGCCGCCTGATTTCCCGGCGCAATTTGTAAAGATCACGCAGTTTGTGTACGAAGGCACGGAGCTGCACGAGGGCGTGCATGTGCACAGGCTGAATAGCGAGTTGCTTGCTCTGGGAGCGCACACGGACCGCGTGATTGTGAGGGCAGTGAGCAATTACGGCGCGGAAAATCATACTTGCTTTTATAGGGTGAGGCTCTACGGGTTTAATGTCGAGCTTGATCGTGACGTGGCCGGAAACTCGTATCACTAAGCCGAGGCCGCTCGGCTACCAAGGGGGGGGGGGGGGAGGGCAAAACATGAGAATGACAGCATGGCACACATCGTGCACGGAGTTGGCGGAGTTGCCATCAGCCAAGCAGAGGGATCAAGGAGACTAGCATGGTGTATGGCGCAAGAATTGGATTATTTTTTTTTCTTTTCTTTTTTTTTTTTTTTTTTTTTCGTATTAGCTTTTCTTGGTGGGAATGAAATGCCGTGGCTGGGGTACAAAACAGCTTGGCTAGACAATATCACGATGCATTCACATTTCCTGTTCATTTGATTGTCTAAGCCGGGTGAAATAAATTTTTTTTAATTCCTCGTACATGCTTTTGCGCCGGGTATATACATTCAACCATCCAACAGCCCTGTCGCCAGGGCCTCCAGATCCTCCAACGTCTCCGGTTCCTCTGTAACTTGTAATACTTTGCTCTTCTTCCCGCTCTTCTTCCTGTTGTCGGCATCATCATCTTCCTCATCCTCAAACCACTTCTTGGCCTTCTTCTTCGGCGGCTCGTCGTCTGATTGCTCACCAGCCGTGGGCAACGACCTCAACAACGCCAAAGGATCCTCTCCATCGGGCGCATCAGCCAGCATAGGGGCCTCGCCACCTTCCAGCTCCTCGCGCTCTCTGGCTTTTCGCTTCTCGCGCTTCTCGCGTTTCTTCTGCTTGGCGAGTTGCTTATCATCGACATCGGCCGCCTTGACTCTTGCGGACTCGCTCTCCACAAACGTCTGGCGCTGCTCATCTGCTGGACCGGCTCGTTTGAAGTCTTCTTCATTCTGCAGCTCGTAAATCTCATGCGAGTTGCCGTCGTCGTCAAAGACGAGCTTCGTGGGATTGCCCCTGAACTTGAGCATTTTCGTCTTGGATTGAAGGGCCTTTTCGCGACGCTTGGAATCAATAACGTAGGGTTCGTCGCCGCCAAGGCCATGGAGCACTTTGGCATTGGAAATGTGGCCCTTTTGGATTTCGGCGTCGAGATCGGCGTCGTTGAGGCGACGCTTGACGGAAAGAAAGTCGTCGTCAGAGCCGGATTCGTTTCCACCGTCGACGACGAGTTTGGCGTAGTGGCTGGAGAGTACGTCCTGGTTGGTCCTCTCAAACATTTTATCGTATTTGGTGCGTACTTCCGGTTTCTTCTTGTCCTTCTTTTTGGTCTTGCCATATTCGCCGTCGAGGTCCATGTCTGACTCGGACCCGCTGGACATGCCATCCCTTGGAGCATTTTTGATCCTCTTGATGTCGCCGCCTTTGTGAAATTTGATCTGCGGAGTACCAGGGAGACCGAGAGCGGATGCGAAAGCGTCAAGGTCCAGTTTGTCGAGTTTGAAAACTTCCTTGTCCCTTTGGAGGTGTATTGCGCGGGCGTAGCTGATGAAGGCCTTTTGGCCGAGGTACTTGAGGTCTGGGTTTTGGAAGCACATGTTTTGTAGGTCGTTTTTTATGCTCTTCTTCTTTTTTTCCTTGACATTGACTTTTTGAATGGGGATCTTCTTCTGTTCTAAGCGCTTGACCATGCCTGGTTCTTCGCTGGGATCGAGGAACAGGACAGCTCGGCCGTTGCTTTGGTACCTCGCTGTTCGACCGACGCGATGGATGTATGTGTCAACGTCTTCGGGGCAATCCACCTGAATGACCCAGTCGACGGCTGGGAAATCGATACCTCGGGCAACTACGTCCGTGGCGAATAGGCATGAATGCTTGGCAGCGGTGAAACGTGATGTGATTTCAAGGCGGGCTACTTGCCTTTGTCGGCCGTGAAGATGTAGCAAAGGGATACCGGGTTGGAGGTGGCGGAAGCTCTCGTAAACGAATCGAACCTGCTTTCCTGAGCTTAAGAAGACAATAATTTTGCTCTTGAGGTTTGACTTGAGGAAGCCGTACAGTGTGTCGAGCTTTTCGGGCAAAGGAGTCGTAATGTAATGTTGCTGGAGGTTTGTAGGGGTCGCGCTCGTAGCCGCTTCATGGACTGATACGTACTCGGGTTCCTTGAGACTTAATCTAGCCAGGTCGGAGACTTTCTTGCTTTGCGTTGCGCTAAACATGAGTGTTTGTCTTGACTTTGGCAAGTGTTCTACCAGCGCATCAACGGCAGATTGGAACCCCATGTCCATAATGCGGTCCGCCTCATCCAGGACCAAAATTTGTAGGTTGTTCGCGTCGAGACCCGCAGTCTGGTCTAGGTGTTGTAGCATTCGACCAGGTGTGCAAACCAGAATGTTCATCCGAGCTAACCGCTCTGCTTCCTCCTTCAAGTTCTTGCCACCAATGACTAACCCCGCCGAGAAGACATGGTACCGACCAATTTTGCGAAGAACCTCGAAAATCTGCACGGCGAGCTCACGAGTTGGGGAGATGATCAAGGCTCCAAGGCCGTCAAACTCTGTCCATTGTGCCCGATACAGTTTTTCCAGCACGGGGATCAAAAATGCCAGAGTCTTGCCACTTCCTGTCTTGGCGGCACCTAGCACGTCGTTGCCTTTAAGGGCGAGAGGGATCGCCTGCTGTTGAACTTCGGTGAGTGTCTGAAAGTGCGATGCTTTGAGTCCGGTGATTGTAGGCTGCGAGAGGGGGAGGTCTGAGAAGGTTTTAATCTCTGCAGATTTGGCATCCTAGAGGAGCGAAACGGCCTGTGTTAGTGCACAAAATACAGCCTTGTCACGGCTGATGTTGGAGATGTCAACCCACCAGGTCATTCACAGCCCGTTCCAGCTTCTGCAGATCCTCTTGGTCACGCTTCCGCTTCTGCTGGCGAGAATCCGGTTTGACACGTTTTTGCGTCTTTTGATGCCGCCCTGGTGTACGGGTAGCCATGGTCATGAGCCGCGCAAACTGCAAATTGTACCGTGGAATGGAGGGCTGGTTGAAGCATCACATTGCCAAAGAAAGGATGCCGAATGAAAAAAAAAAAAAACTTATCGATAAGAACGATCTGGGTCTTGGCGCCTACTCAGTCCACGCCCAGTAGGCAGAGGAGGTGGGGCTGGTGTAGTTACATTACTCCGTACTGGAGTGGTCAATGGTCTCATGTGGTTCACCATGAACTTCAAAATGCAACCTGTCCATGACGCACAGGTTTCCGAGTTCTAGCTTGAGAAGGCAGCCGTTAGATTGACCATGCATGGAAAGATTGAGCTTATCAGACTTACGGCATATTACTTTATCTGGTGGCACGTGGTGACGGTACTGTTTGCATTGCGTCAGGGAAATGTGGCCAATATCAACAGCCCTACAACACTAAAAAATTATCATATACAATACATGCGATACTAGTACTAAATATGATACTCCCCATGCTAATTTGGAGACGGCTTGACCTTTGTTAGGTTTGCATTCTCGTGTTTACAATATCTATCACCACGGTCCATGAACGACAGCCAACCCAACTAGGAAGGCACGTGCATCGTGAAACAACATGGTCCTCCCTCAGGCTGCAAATTTTCACAACGATAGACAAAACGACCGGGGCATTTCGATTTTCTCCACAGATTCCAAAATTACATCAAACGTCAAGCGGGAAAAAGCTGACACTTGATGCCCGCTCCCGTCAATCAGCATTATAAATTTTGGCATGAATAACCACACAAGCCTACAGTGTGCTTTGCGGCGATCCGCAATACAAGAAGAAGCGCAGCTAGCTTGGTCGACCCGCCAGGACACCGAATCCTTGTCATTCCCGTTCTTGTACCAGAACGACTACTACTACATCTATTGTTTGGTAACCGGCCAAGCCTTGGCCAAATCACGATTGAGTCTTGGTGATGAGCGCATGGGCAGAACATGGACACCTTTCTGGGGGCGAACACAGCCCCATTTCGACTCCATTGCGGCATCCAGCAACCCCTGGCGAACAGCAAGCTCGGCGACTAACACAACGCTGTCACGCTCCAAGCCAAGATGCGGGACTTGAACATCCGTCTCCATTGGTTCCATTCTGGCCGCCTTGGCGTTGAATCCGCCGGAAATGACATCTGTAATGCTTGAAAGTCTAGAGAGTTGGGGCTGTGCCGACAACACAGACTCGCATGTCAGCGGGAAGCGGGCCAGGAGCGCCATGAGTCTCCAAGACTAGGGCAATGCCGTTGTCCGAAGCATCTCATGCATCTTGACAAAATTTCGGGTTGGTCCACTCGACTGCCCGAGGAGAGGGATGCACATCTACTCCGTACTCATGCACGATGGCAGCATGACCGCCCCAAACTGGCGACCAACGTACGGTTCGCGGTGGCAGAATTGGTGGGCTCGGCATCAACTTGTCCGAAGTACATATTCCTGTGTCGTCAAACACAAGTACAAAATGAGGCGCTCGGATGCAGCGCGGTCACTCACTTCGCCTCATTAGCCAAGCGAAAGAAGTCAACCCCACAGGCACAGGGGAATGTGGCACTTGGACCCAAACCGAAGCGCCCAAAAAGCCATCGGAGTGACACTGACTAGGTCTGCTGTCTGGCAAGCTGGACCTGGCCTGGTTACTCAACGAATTGCCGTACATGGTACGGAGTAAGGAGTATGTACGTGGTTACGGAGTACTTCCATTGATTGTGTTTAACTGGTGGCGCTCGATCAGAATAATCTGACCCAATCCACAGAGATGCCCCTCGGTTTTCGTCTTTATATTCTTTGACATCAGCCCAAGTGGTTAGTCTCCGACGTCTTCACAGCATTTCTTTATATCGAACTCGCGATTTCTATCCCATGGAATCTCTCTAGGGCCAAATCCTCTATGTATAAAGTCCCAGTTACGCCTTGGCAGAAGTCGGGTGTGTTTGCGTCTAGCGCCACAGGTCGACACCACGAGTTGCCGGTGGCAGCCTCTCGCCCAGCCCGTCTGCTCGAATTTTCCCGGCTTTTTGAAATTTGGCACTATTTTAGCGATTTCTCAGTTTCTGTATCCTTACATGCTTGAAACTTTTCATTCTCTCATTTCTCGAATACACAAACGACGGCTGTGACCCATGCTCTGAACATGGCAGACAGCCTCAGCCCCGTGCCCCAAGGCGACCGGCCCATCCTGGAACGTCGCCGGTCCAAGAACCCGATCAAGAACATAATGCAACACCTCACGGTAGAGCCACCCGACGATGATGATGGGTCACCACGACGAGAATCACTCATCCGACGCCTGAGCTGGCGCAAAAGTCGGAGCCCTTCAGCTCACTCCGATACGTCCACTCCAAACTCTGCAACTGTCCGTAATGTTGACCGGGCCTTGTGCACATCTTGCTCAAGTCTAGCTGTTGATATAGAGTCCACTTTTGATGAAGTTGACTCTTCTTTTACAAAAGTCCTCCATCCAGGCGCTGTGGACGCCTTTGACAAGAAGGAGTACTTCATCTCGCGGCTTCGAGGACTCGAAGAGGACAAATGGTCGACAACGTGTCCATTGTGCAGGCTCTTTTGGTCAGTCCATGTACCGGGCGATGGTGAGGGTGACTATAGCTTGTCTGCATTTTCAAGTCGAGACACCAATTATCTCATCGACCCCATCAAAATGTTCGACATGGACCACCAAGCAAGGGCCAAGGCGAGAGGCTGGGCCCCCGGCTACCTGGCAGTCACACCAAAAAAGACGGGCTCCGGTGCAAAAAGCTGGGAGCCCCAGCCAGACTGGTTTCGAGAAAGGGGAATGCTGTATAGGACGCTCCCGCAAGCGTCCCTGGAGCCATTCTCTGCGCGAGGGCGAGCGAGAACTAATGAGAGGAATACGCCAGAGCCCCCGGCCCTACTGACAGACTCGGCTTGGCTTCAGAAGGGAATTTGGGGAAGGGAAATTGGTCAATCAGCGGATATGTCTATTGCTCGTAACTGGTTGCAATTTTGCGACAGACATCACCAAGGACGATGTGGGCGTCGCCAGGTCGCACGAGAACTTGCCGGGTTCAAACTCATTGACTGTGCTCGATCCCCACCACAGGCGGTCGAGCGGCCGCTGAGTGAAGACTATGTCGCTTTGAGTTATGTATCTGGGAGCAACGTGACGGACCCCTGGCCAAAGGCAATTCGGGACGCGGTTACGGTGACTCGAGAGCTTGGATTTCGCTATTTGTGGGTTGATCGCTTTTGTATCGACTCAGCCAGATTGCAGGAAAGAATGCATCAAATCGGCCGTATGGATGAAATATTTGAAGGAGCTGCGGTGACCATTATCGCTGCTCATGGCAAGGACTCCATGCAAGGTCTGCCCGGCGTGGGCTCGACTGCAAGGCTGGAGCAGCCCAAGTACAAATTTGCCGACGGAAATGTCACACTTGTTTCCAGCATGCGCGATCCTCGGCTTGACATTATGGAATCGGTTTGGTATACACGCGGCTGGACTTATCAGGAAGGCCTGATAGCGAGGCGGCGCCTTGTATTCACAGAACAGCAGATGTACTGGGAGTGCGAGGGCATGTCATGCCCAGAAACCCTTGTCCTGCCACTTGCCGCGTACTACGATAGAGACCAAGAAAAGATGTGCGATTTTGTACGGCCAGGTTTATTCAATGGGTTGTCTTACATTGATGGTAGCTGGGAGGTTTGGAAGAAGCTGCCGCAAAGCATGGAAGAGCCCAGTACCCTCAGCATCTTCCGAACCTCGGATCAGCATATCATCGAGTACACCAAGCGTCAGCTTACGTACGATGGAGACTCACTTAGTGCTTTCATGGGAATTACGAGACGTCTGGAGAAGACTCTTGGAAAGGACAAGCTCGGGAGCATTGTTGGAATTCCCCTATGGTGCCCGATCGCCGATAACACGGCGCGTCCCGGGCCGGCTCGAACCAAACTCCTGTTTGCCTTGACGACCAGCTTTTGGCATCACAAGGGAGATGATCAGCCGCAGAGAAGACGCCATTTACCCAGCTGGACATGGGCTGGTTGGCGAGGAGCAGTGCGACTATACTCATCCATTATCGTGATTGAGCAAGACGGCACCAGCAAAGAAAAGAAGCTTTTGAACCACCACTATGTGAGCGCCACGCAGTTGACTAGGAACGATCCCTCATCTGTGAAATGGGCATACTCGCCAGAGATGCTGGTTCTCGGCCCCAATGGCCAAGTTGTATATGATTTCTCTGCCGCGAGTGGAGCTCCTCCTACGTTTTCCCCGGGCCGCTATCTGCTGCGCATTACCAACCCGTTGGTTCTCGATAAAGTCAAGGCACGGGTCCACAACGGCGGGTGGATATTTAACGATGTTTGTGTCGATGTGCGACTCAGTCGCGGCCGGGGCACGGAACCGAGCGCAACGGCACCCTTGGCATCGGATGTCAATAAACCCAGTGCGATTCGAGAATACCTAGAGCATCACGCTCGTGGTGAGCAAATGACAGTGCTGTGGTTTGTCGAAGAAGCCACCATTTTGCTCTTGGTTATTGAGAAGACTGAATCTGGATCTTGGGAACGTGTTGGAAGGGCGCGAATGGGGTTCGGTGAAGATGCAAAGGACGTGGTGCGACGGTTTGGCAGCTTGGAAGTCATGATTAATCACCTTCCCCTACGTCGACTTGGGTCCGACATTTTGATTGAGTAGAAAATGTCTATCCTGGTCTTGTACGGTTGAGTATGGAGAGCCCTGGATAGTTGCGCATTGCATCTTGGGGTTCCAATGGGAACGTTGCTAGGCAGAGCATTTTATGTTAGCGGGGCGCTACGGTCACCATTGGAAGCTAGAGAGACGGAACAGAAGATTGAGTAATGGCAGCTGAAGAGGTACAGGAACCCCGGTGAATTCAAGTCAGCCTGCGCATATTACTGTTTTGTATCGAATATTTAGCATTGTAAAATATTTGTAATAATACCACAGCATCCTTTTCGACTTGTAATATTGTTCTTCTCAAAAACGGCGCCACCAACTAACGCTGCTTCCATCCCCATGCGGTCGAGGCTATGCTGTCAATAACCATCGCAACGCCAGCGACCGGCGCCACAAAAGGCCCTCAAACCCTCTCGCAGGCCAGGTGATGAGACATCTGCGCCTTCAATGAAATTGAACTGAGTCTCCCATGGCCATATCGGTCTTCGGGGCGCGACCGAGGGCGGGAAGCGGAAATGTCTATCCCCACACCACCTTTTAGCCCGTCTGACGGACCTTTGCAAATCTCCGTCAGTCCCAGCGTTGGGTGAGGTCAGCAAAATTAGAGTCTTACTAAATTCCCACGTCTTTCCTCCCTCTCCCATCCTGAGACGGTCTGCAATCATCCTCCTGTACCTTGGCTATCGTCGATACAGCAGCTTCGTTCCTCAACGGATATAACCGCCATGACGGCTGATCTTGCCCCCGTAGCGTCGTCCACATCCGGCACTTCCGTGCCAGCCACGCGGGTAAAATCATCCGCATCGACGACGAGCCAGTTTGGATATCCGCGCGGACACTTGGGATACCTGAGTGAGCATGAGGCCGAGGCATTGGACAAGTTCAAGAATGTTTTGGAGGAGAGGGGCGCTTGGAAAAGAGAACCTGCCAGTCACGACGACCAGACGCTGCTGTAGGTAATGGATTGGTGTCTAGGCCCGCGGTGTTGAGACGTCCATTGGATGGATGCGTTCAAGGGGCTCTAGAGCGTCAATGTCGTTTTTTTTTTTTGGCCGTGCTGACTTTTTTATTTTTCCCCTTTGTATATAGTCGCTATCTACGTGCGCGCCGTTGGGTAGTGGAGGATGCTTACAAGCAGTTCAAAGACACGGAGGATTGGAGAAACGCGAATCACATCGATACGCTGTATCGCACCATTGAGCTGGACGCGTACGAGCAAAGTAGACGACTGGTTGGTTTCTCTCCCGTGCAGCTTGAAGTTCCACAAAAGCCGGCACAAAACTAACATTGAATCCTGCGGGCTTCGAGTATCCGCAATGGACGGGTCGTCGTGATCGTCGCGGAATACCCCTCTACGTCTTTGAGATCAAGAACCTCGACTCCAAAACCGTCTCCGAATACGAACGTCTCGGCGCCAAATCCACCTTTTCCGACGCCCAGACCGATGGCAAGACACCTCCTGGACTGTTGCGCCTGTTCGCGCTGTACGAGAACCTGACGCGCTTCAGTCAGCCCTTTTGCACGCAGCTCACGGATCGAGAATTCCCCGACGTCCCCGTGACCATGAGCACCAACATTGTGGACATTTCGGGCGTCGGGCTGAAGCAGTTCTGGAATCTCAAGGGCCACATGCAGGCGGCCAGCCAGCTTGCCACGGCGCACTATCCCGAGACGCTGGACCGAATCTTCATCATCGGCGCGCCCTTCTTCTTCAGCACCGTATGGGGCTGGATCAAGCGCTGGTTCGATCCCATCACGGTGTCGAAGATCTTTGTCCTGGGCCCGCACGAGGTCAAGCCCACGCTGGAGGCGTTTATCGAACCCCGCAACATACCCAAAAAGTACGGTGGCGAGCTAGACTTTTCGTTTGGACAGCTGAGCGTGCCGGATCCGAATTGGGAGGGGGTCGTAGAGTGGGAGAATGGGTATTCGTCGTTTCCAAGTGGCCCCTTGTTGTGGGAAGACGTTGACGACGGCAAGAGAGCGGCCTGTATCGCACTGGGTAAAGACAAGGGCACGCCCAGGAAGGTGCGCATCTGCACGGTGCCAAAGACATGGCCTGCCGAGGAGGATGGGCAGACGCAGACAAACGGGCAGAGGGCCGACGTGGCAACGGAGGGAACCCAGACGAATGGCGAGGTGTCGGAGGGCACACAGACGGCTGAAGATACGAGAGACGATGGTGCGCAGACCGGAGAGGCGGACGGGATTACGAATGGCGAGATTGTAGAGAAGCTGAAGCTGACGGAGGGGGAGACTGTGGCTGCGCGGGTTGCGCCGGCTGCCACTGCTTAGACGGACTATTTGGATGTCTTTTTGTATTTTCCTGGATCTAGACGCATATGTGTGCATGCTGGATATGCGATAAATCGGGATATCATTTCTCAGGGTGAAATGGCGGGCGCTGGGTTGTTGGGCACGGGTTCATCTTGTCTTTTCTATCCTTTGGATCTTGGTCATTGGACCGTTGGAAAACAATGCTCAAGTGCATATTCTAGCGATACCCATAGGCGCAGCATAAAGTAAAGTCTATTTATATATTACGACTCTTGACATGATGTATCCAAATGGTGTATTGCCTCTATACAACTTTGCCTTGGCCACGACGTGGCGATCCTCAAGCTCGCCTTGAATATTCCTCCCCTCTCTCGAGTAAACTTTGAGGCTTCAACGTCAAACACTGCCCTTTCTGACGCCCCTCCGTCTCCGCCAGTCTTGCACACCCTTTTCAATCTCCGCCCAGCAAACCCCGTCCCTGACCAACCTCATCGTGATGCCCAGGCTTTCCGTCTCCTGATTCCTACTCTCGTCATCAAAGAACAAGATATCCTCAAACTCGACTCCGGTCCTCTTCTGCAGCAACTCTATATGCCGAATCTTACTGCCGGGATAAATCTCCATCCCGGCATCAAACACATCCAGGGCCTTGCGGGGCTTGTCTCCTTCCCGTGTCGGCGGCAGGTGCAGCATTTTCAACAGGTCCCTTGCCAAGCCGGGCGCATGGGTTCGTGACGCGACGCCGAGTTTTATAGGCGTGCTAGAGTCGGACAATGCGCGGGGGAGAAGCTGGAGGATGTGAGGAACATCGGAGTAAAAGGTGTACTCTTCGCCGTGGCGATCCGTGGCGAGGGAGTGTGCCGCGTTCGGCTTGAGCGGCGGCGTGACGTGTGTGTCTACCCAGAATGGCCAGAGGGTGTAGTCGAGGTCGAAGACGACAAGCTTGGGCAGCGGGAGAGTTGGGTCCGTCAGCGACTGGGGGATCTGGGAGGCGGACGATGTGGCGACGGCTGAAGAGGGGGTAGTCGAGGCAGCGGATGTGAATGACGACTGCTTGGAGAGTTTGCGTGGCATTTCGGCTACGCGTCGATGAGAGGTTGATGGATATGTTGTCCAGGGAGGTACGTGGCATGTGCTTTGGTGTTGAGGGGTGAAATGGCTCTATGACGCAGGTGGGAGTCAAATTGGCACTTGGTGCCTGAGATGACGAGCGCCATTTGGAATGATTTCAACATTGAACAGTGGGGGGCGCGCAATCGAGCTAAATGTTGTGCCTGCCTTGTCGGGGACCCGGCTGACATTTCGATATTTCGACTGGTGTTTTTTGCGGCGCACCACGCATGTAGCTGGAATAGTAGCAGATTGGCAGTATTTGGAGTCGTGAGTTGGAAAGCGTCTGCGAGTCTGCTCGACGACAAGTTGTTTCCTCCTTTGTGCGCGACGACGCTGCGTGGGTACATACCAGGCCCATTAATTGATTGCATGTCAACTGGCGACCATCTGGCAACCACTTCAACATGGGAAGTCACGGCTGTCAACCCAGCCCAAGTTTCGTCGACATTGTTGTGCCCGCCAACAACATTGAAGTTCTCTCACGTTCACAGTTCAAATCTCCCATTTACGCCGCCTTCATTTCGTAACCCGGATATATTGATAAGCCAGTTGACGGCGTGACAGCCCTGCAGACAGCGATCTTACCACATGATATTCTATTCGCCAACTCGCATCAACATGGCGAACGCACATCCTTATTTCCCTTGTTATGGCATTTCGGAATGGGAAATACATCCTGCCAACAATACAATGGATTTTGTCATTCGGACGGCCACTGGATGGGCCATTCACGTCGACATCAACCCTTCATATTTCCTCCGCTCCCCACGCCTCCTTCAAGAGTACAGCCGCTACATGGAAGCCCTACGAACTCGTCATCTAACGATGGGCAGCGTAGACGCTTTGAATTGGCTTGCCACTCCGTTTCGACTTGTCGTCGCAGAACTGGCGGAGCACAGTCCGCCTCTGCCGGCGGGGGTAATTCCAACATTGTGGCACTATTTATCCGCGCCCCGTGCCGTCTTCCAGCTTCATGCGGTAGACGAAAACTTTCGGCCTGTCCGAATAGCATCTAGTCCGAGGTCGTTGACTGCCGTGGCCACTCGCATAGATGAACAGTTTCTAACAATGCCCCATCGGTGGACAGTGTGGTATCATCCTTGCAGAGTGCAGATCGATATGCTTTTCCGGCATAATCCAATGATCAACCCACCTTGCAAAGTTTGGGCTTTAAGTAAGAATCATCAACCTGCTGTGTGCTATTTCAAACAGTTTCGGTCTGGGTACGTCCTAGGGGAGGAGAATGCAAAATTGCTGGCACAGAAGAAGCTGGCCTTGGCACGGGGGACAGCTAAGAACCGCCATCAAATATGCACTCTACACGGACTGGTGCTTGATGAATCTGGACACGGTTTCGTTGGCATGCTCTTCGACTGGATTGACGTGAGAGGGATCATGTCGCGCAACCAAGTAGCATCTGCGTCTCACCAGCTGCGAGACAAATGGGCGCAGCAGATCAAATCGTCAGTGGAAAAGTTGCATAGTGTTGGGGCAGTCTGGGGCAACGCGGCGTGGAATGATGTACTCATTGATAGGAACGACAATGCATGGATCACAGGTTTTGGGGCCAGCTATTTGCCGGGTTGGGTAGATGCGGACAAGAGAGGAACAGTGGATGGCGACTTGCAGGGTTTGGAGAAAATATTGGACATGCTACAACCAGCATCACGAAGAGCGCCAACTTTCTTTTCTTTCTGAGTCTCTCTGTCTTTTCTGTTTTTGGCTTCAGTCACTTTTCGCGCGGATGTCTTGGGTCAGCGAGTAACTAATATACATACAACAAACCAGAGTTTTTACCAACATTCAACGCCATGTCCGCTTCCATCCGCGAAATGAGAGCCTGCAGCAGTGAATCCATTAATTCGTATAGCACGTGGCTGACGACCTTGATGCCTCGCCTTGCTATTTATTACGAGTAGTAGTAGTAGTAGTAGTAGTAGTAGTGGTGGTGGTGGTAGTGCTGGTATAGGAGGACCCTCAATCATTCAAGGGTCTGACTCGCAGAAAGTTGAAACTTTGGAATGGGACGAATGGCCTTCAGCCCCTCCTGGCCATGCCCGAGACAGAGATTGTTGGAGTCTGGAGATTGTCAGATGCTGGCCTCAAGGAATGGAGTCGGTTCTTGACGTAGCCGGTGGTTCGTTGGACATGGCTGGTAGCGTCATGACCGTATCGGAAGAATGCGCTTGTAGCCAAGCAGATGAAAATGGTGCATGCATCCACAAGTAGCCTCCTAGCTAAGTTGTAGTAAAACCGTCATCGATCTCACGCCCGGTGTCTTGAAGCGGGCTTTATGCCGTCTTGCGCCCCTCGTCATCTTTCCCTCTTGTACAACATCACCTTCACCCACTTGCACGGCACGCAAAGTCCAAACAATACGCCTCGACACCCAAGAGCAGCCATGGGCCTTACCGTCCACCACCTCGGCGTCTCACAGTCCGAGCGGATCCCTTTCCTCTGCGAGGAACTAGGCATAGACTACACCCTCAAGCTCTACGGGCGGGCGCCCACGCTCGCGCCCGAGGAATACAAGGCCCTCCATCCGCAGGGCACGGCACCCGTCATCCAGGACGGCGACGTGACGCTCGCAGAGAGCGGCGCGTGCATGGAATACATCAGTCGCAAGTTCGCCAATGGCAGGCTCTTCGTCGAGCCCTCGGACCCGGCATACGCAGACTTCATCTACTGGTGGCACTGGGCCAACGAGACCTTCCAACCGACCGTGGGCAGGGTCATGGTGACGCGGGCTGCCAAGATGGCCGACGACCACTGGCTTGTTGCACTGGGCCGGAACCGACTAGAGGCCTCGTTGGGCGAGTTGAACAAGAGGCTGGGGAGTCACAGGTGGCTTGCGGGCGAGCAGTTTTCTGCGGCCGATGTCATGCTCATGTTTTCGTTGACGACGATGAGGTACTGGGCGCCGTACAGTCTGGATGGGCACCATGGCATATTGAGCTACATTGAGCGGGTGAGCAGGCGGGAGGCCTATCAGAGGGCGATGAAGAAGTCGGATCCGGACATGGAGCTGGTCTTGGGCGCAGAGGCGCCGCCGTCGATTGTTTGAAAGGGGCACTCGGTCGAGGGAATGAGAGGCATGCGGATATGTAGCTCGCGACTGTGTTTACCGGTTGTTTTGCAAACTGTAATGATTGATGAAATCACTTGCCGCCGATGCTAGTAGGCTCGAAGTGAAGGTGGAAGCCAGACTGCACGGCCTTGATGGATGCGGAGTGACTGTTGTGCAGACGGGTTGATGAAGCGTTTCGTGCTGCCGGACTGTGTCTGGAGTTCCAAGCCGAACCTGCTGTGTTTGGCAGCAAGGTGAGTGAGCGGCTGCGTAACATTGAAAGATGGGACGCCATGGTGCGGCTGGCAAGCCGAAGCCGAGCTCCAGTCGCCGGCGCGGCTCTGCAGCCAGGCATTTCGGCGGGAAGCATCAAATGATCTGCATCCATGCAGCGGGGCCTTGGCCCAGGACGGTCTTGATTCATGCGGGGGCTTGGCGTCGCTGACATATCGGGTTGATGAATGTCGCGATGCCTGCTTTATCAATCAGCACGCCATCGCGCCGGCATGCTCGCCTCGCCCTGTCCATCTCCTGTTCCATTGCCAGAGCGCCGGGACGCCGGGACGACAAGACTTATACCCGCCTCACCATGCCCAATCCCTGGGACTACAAGTATCCCTCGCCGCTCGCCGGCTTCGAAGATGCGCCTCCGCTGCCCGCCGACACAAACGAGGACGGGAAGAGCCTCGTGAACCCTCCACGGGACGGACTGAGCGAGGCCTATCGCAGCTTCACAAGGCCCTTGAAAACGGACCGCCGCGGTGGCTTGTGCGTTGAATTTTCCTTGTTTCCGTCGACCTGTCGTCCTTTTTTTTTTTTCCCTTTGTCTGGCGCGACTAACATCGGCGCAGTGACATACATGTGTATTACTTGCAGCAGAACCCGGAGCAAGCCAAGTATGCACGAGAGCTGTGGGAGCGCATCCGACGGGAGTGTAAGTCAGCAACTTGCATAGATGTACACGGAACGTTTCGGTCGTGCTGACGGCAAACTTCAAAGTCCCTGAGCTGAGAGTGTACAAATTCTGGGATGGCCCAATCGGGCCTCACCCGGTGGCCATGTTCGAGGTCAACGTCTTTACTCCCGCGCAGTTCGGGGCCTTTGTCGCATGGCTCGCCATTTGGCGCGGACCTCTGTCTGCACTTATTCACCCTAATACTAGTGTGCCCGAAGGTGAGGCGGCCAACGAGGTCGAGTTGCGGGATCACACGGAGAGGGCTATTTGGATGGGCGAGAGGTTGCCGCTGGATTGGGCGCCATTCAGACCTCACGAGTAAAAGGCCGGTAATGTGAGTCATGTTTGTGTTGTTTATTCTGCGCTAGCTCAAATTAGACTGTCATAATGAAGAGCACAAACAACCGTGGTGTTTGCCGTGATATCTTACGCCATGCATTTTACACCAGTGCTCTGGACCGGAACCAAGTTTTTGTTACTCTAATCGTGACCCGCCGTTATGATTGTCATGGACTTTGACACACAAAGACAAAGGGAAAGAAAGAGAGAAAGAAAGAAAGAGGAAGCTGCGACATTCATCACGCCTCCTCATGCTTCCACATCATTCGTCTTCGTCATTCGTCCCTTTTTCTGGGGTCGTCCATCAGGTGCAGACTGATTGTTGCGGCGCAGCCAGTACGCGACAAGTGCTACCATCACTGCAGCTCCCGAAACTGCCGTTGCTACCATCATGTCCGTTCGAAATGCCTCTGCAAACGTCATCTTGGCCAACTGGCTTTGCGAACCATGCGCCTGGGAACCTCGTTTTCCGACGGGCAGTAGGCCTCTGTGTGTCTTGGTCCGGAGTATGGCTGTCGACGCCGCGATTCCCAAACTGCCGCCAAATATACGCAATTGAGCAAGAATTCCCTGGGCCGGTGCTAGTTACTGTTAGCAACAACTGCTTGGATAAGTTGATGCATGACGGTACTTGCCGTAATGCTTTGGCGCCACCTTGATGGATGCAATCATTGTGCTTGACGACACCGTGAGGCCGAAGCCCATTCCGCAAAGCGCAATGAACCCCAGCAGCTTCGCGCTATCAAGTTCCTGAGTGGACAATGTCGTTGACAGTCCGCAGCCCAACAACATCAAACACGAGCCTGCCAACAGTGTTTCCGTAATGCCCGGGGTCTTTGAGTTGACTGCGCCACTGACAATGCTGCCCAGAGCAACAGCAACCAGCATTGGCAGCAGCATAACACCGGCCAACAGAGCAGATTTGTCCCCAACAATCTGGATCCTCAGTGGGACAATGTAGATCAAGAGCAAGTATGGCAGCCCCAGAAGGAGGGTGTTTATGACCCCAGAGGTATACACGACGCTGCGAAAGATCCCAAGGGGGAGGACTGGGATAAACCGTCTGGACAGGCCGTTTTCAACGGCGTATTCCCAGAGCATCAGGGCGCCCCAGCAAACGACGCCGACGGCAAGGGGCGCAATGAAGACGGCCGAGCCCCAGCTGCTGCCGTGGGATGCGGTCCCGGTTGTTTGGCCGGCATTTTGGAAAGAAAAGACGACAAGAACGGCGGCGGCAACGGTGAGGAAAGCTCCGGGGTAGTCCAGTTGTTTCCATGAGTGCTTTTCATGAGGCGGGAGGTATCTCCTATTCGGCCAGCCGAGGACGAACGTGGCCAACGATGCCGCCCCGATGGGACCACTATATGTACATGTTAGTGGCAGGTGCCATATTCGGCTAGATGACGAGAGACATGCTTGATCCAGAAAACCCATCTCCAGCTCGTGTAGCTCGTCAACAACCCGCCCAGAACCGGGCCCAACAGCCCAGACGTGGTAACAACCAGCCCAATCATGGCCGCAATATACTGTCTCAAATGAGCCGGACTGAGCTCCGACAACATGATCATGGACAGGGAATACAGCCCCGAGCCCCCTATGCCCTGAAGCGTCCGAAAGGCGATGAGTTGCGCCAAGTTCTGGGCGAACCCGCATGCGAGCGAGAAGGCCACGAAGACGACGTACGCGACGACAAAGGCATCTCGGCGCCCGGTGATGTCTGATATGCGAGAGAAGACGATGGCAAAGCCCATGTACGCGAGGGTGTAGGAGAGAGCGACCCAGTTGACGTTGTTGAGGTCACGGAACTCGGTGCCGATGGCGTAGAGGGATGTTGCGACGATGGACGTGTCCACCATGGAGAGAAAGAGGCCCAGACATACTCTACGGGGTGGTTTTTTTTTGCGGTCAGTTCTCTTCGTCGTGATGGGAACCACTTTGCTTACCCGACACATAGAATCCAGAATCGTGCTGGAGGGATTGGCGGCGGTTTTGTGCTCTCCGTCTGGACTGTAGATGTAAAGGAATGGGCAGAAGCTCGTGCTTCATGCCGGCCGTGTGGAGACATGTGCTACGATAATAAACGTACCAAGGTGAAACAATAATGTAAGAAGAAGAAATCTTTACTTTTTTGTTTTTGTGTCATGTGAAGCCCATGGTATTTTCTGTATAGTAGCATCTTTGAGGGGGACGGAATAGTTTAGACCCCCGGGAATAAAGAAAACGCTTACTCGCTTCGGGCACAGGATCCCAGGCAGATAATGAGCCCTTCTGCCCCCCCGGGGGGTCCCGGCAACTTCCAAAAACCTATTCGTGATCGCTTAAGCCTGCCCAATCATGGCCAAACACCTGAGCTGCAAAGAGGACCAACAACACCGAGCATCTTCACGGTGGAGTGGAGAAGCCCGGCGACAGCTTTGGTGTTACACAAAAATCTTGGGCACCACATTAGCTGAACATGAACTGTTGGCTCGTCGACGGCACCTTTGGCCTGACCGTGACACGGAGAGGTGCCAGAGACCGGGGGAGGATGTCATTGATGAGACGCAAAGACTACTGGACGGTTCGTGACGGGACCTTGGGTCTCCACTATGGAATGAGTTTATGTCCTTCTTGTCTGGGAAGGCCCCCGATTCGTCTTACTGACAGCTGTGGCTTACTTCGCACTCGCCTAAGAGTGATAGATTCGGGAAGATGCGCTAGCAAGGCCAATCGGGTTGGAAGCAGAGGCGGGATTGGCTTTCCGTCAAGGTGAATCGGGCGGTGTCCTTGCGGGAAATTCCATTTCAGGATAGCACGGTGAGGGGAGTATTACGTGAGCGTGTTTTGATATCGTCGTACAGGGAGGAACATGGTAGCCGAATGATCTCTGTCATGAATCTTGTGGCTCTAGATCGTGGCTATCCTCCCTGGTTCTTTGCTCTGATCCTTGAGAAATGGTGCCGTCATGCAGCCTTGGCACCAGTGTGAAATGCATCCCACAAGGTTACATTGCCCATATGCAAGATGGGACGCGTTGTTTCCCAAGGACACATCATAGCTGAGCTTTTCTTATTGCCGGTAGGAGGAAATATCTTGTATCCCAGAGTCGACCAGTTTGTTCACTGAACCCTGAATGTGGTATTCCTGGTACCAACACCGTTTATGGAGAATATTCGCTTTCTTCTTCTAATATTCGCTAGGTGGAGGGCCCGTAAGGGTTACCAAAAGCTTATTTCCGCAACCTCAGTCTTGTGAAAAGACGTCGACAAACATACCAAGGCAGCCTTCTATTCCTATGCTTTTGACCTCATGACTCCGCCTGCAGTATGCCACACATACCCCCAAGGGCCGAACTTGCTACACATGGTCCAGGATTCCTGGTGGGCAATTTTGTAATGCCAACGATCGCCATCTAGCCCACTGTTCTACCATGAGAGGATGCGCGTCCGGTTTCTGCTCCCGCAGCGCCTGAGTGTCGTGCATCCATGGCTTGCCAGCAGCAGTGAAGTGAATGATGGCCGCTTGGTCATACAAAACCCGTAGTTGTTGGTCTGTCGCGGTGCCATTAGACGACCCAGGGCCCATCCACAGGGGAATGTTCCAATCTTCCCAGTGACTATTGAGGGTCACATATCTCTCGCTCAATCGATCCCCTCGCTCGGCGAATAGGTCGTTGATAAGGTCCATGTCGTACTTGTCAGACTTTATACTTGTCGCAGCGGTCTTGACCCTGTCCCACACCGGTTTGCCTGGCTGGATCAACATGCAAGTGCTGGTGATGGTGTCATTGCTGATCCAATAAGCGGTTGGAGCCATAAAATCCGTCATTTGAGCGTCGAAAATCTTGTCCAGGTTTCGAAGTATTAGTTGGTCGGCGTCAGGCACCAGCAACCTCCGGATCGAAGAATCGTATTCGTGCAATTTAAAGGCCGCTAGTTTTAAGAGACATCCCTCGTAGTATGAGACGCTGTTTGCCTCAAGTGGGAGAGGTGTTTCCTTGACCATGGTTATATTTTCGGCAGCCAGGGCGTCTTGCATCGCTCGTGAAACACCATCAGATATGATGGCGAAAATGCGATGCCTTGTGCCCATCAAATGCTGCAAGATGTGTGCGTTGACCAACACTGAGCAGGCATAGTTGTCGCTGTTGGCGTAGAAGACGTACGCATCATATGCGCTTGGTGTGCTATACACACGGAGAGTTTGCCAGACAATGCAGATGATTGCGAAAGCAGGCACACACAGCAGTAATAGTTGAATATGGAACTTGGGTCGAGAGCAAAAGACCAGCATCGTTGATATCGACGTCCATGAGGCAGAGAAGGACAGCAAGGCACCATGGTGAGATGACTGTGTAGTAAAAGTTTGCTGTTTAATATATTTTTTTGCACCTCGACTTGTCCGAGGTGAATGACTCGCAATTCAAAAGGCAGCCAATGAACAAGGAAGGAATGCCAAGAGATGTTATTGCGGCATCATAACAATGCGACTGCTCCTCCACTTTTAAATGGAGGCTGGTTGTGGTTGTCTCACGAGTTTGCTCAAACGTTGCATGAGGCTCCAAGATTGGTCGTCGTGTTCTGTCGTGATTGTGCTCGATACCGTCTCTAGGCACCACTTGTTGTGGATAGCAGCCTCAGCCTACGAGGCTATTAATATAGAAATGAGATTAAAGTTTGCGGAGCAATACGAGATGTAGCCCGTAAGCATTAGGGTTCTCCCCTAGGGGTGGTGATATTGGGACGGTTTTGCCATTACGATTTCCCACGGCTTCTCCCTGTCCTATTCAAATCATCAAATTTGTCAATTGCGCCAATAGCTAACAAGGTTATTGCCAGTCTTGGACAGCCGGCTTCATGTTGAGGCTCCCGCTTTCTCAAAGTGGCCTTGTTTGTGAAACCCAGACTTCTCGTAGAGGCAAGGGTTGATCTTGGCATTGATGCGGAAGAGACGTGAGGGCGATTGGGTCCGGGTACTGGCAAGAAAATAGAGTTGTTGCAGACTGTGGTTCTTGGAGGGTTAGGTATCCTGATAAATCCCGTTCGGACAAGGACCGCCCTGTTTTGCTCTCAACATGAAGTCGCATGCCTCCCCTTCAAGATGTTGGCTTGTACGTGTATGTACCTGATACTGCAACTCCGTACGAGATTCAACCAAGAAACCCTTTGTTGCGCTTCATTGTGACTCGTTTGAGATTTCCAACTGTTCTCAAGCCAAACCAACTGGCGGCGGAGATACACAGGACGGACCCTGCTGAAACCACCACGAAGCCCAAATCCGCTTCGGTAAGCACATTCTGGATGTTCATTCCGTAAAATGAAGCCACAAATGTGCCTGTTCCCAGGGCCAGTGTACAGGAGATGAACTTCAAATGCAGCAGCATGAGCGAGTTCCGGTTTGTATCTAAAATTGTTTGCACGCTGACATGCCGTCGTCAGTATGGCTCGAGATTGGGTGTTGACCTGAATTGAACGCTTACATGTCATCCGTATTCTTGATCATAGAGGTCAAGCTCTGTGCATCCTGTGCAATTTCGTCGCATATAGCGTAGTACGATTCCAGCATGGACTCCACCTCAGAAAGGTCCTCAGGCCCATGGACATTCTTAGCATTGTCCGTTAAATACAAGGCAGCAAGGCTGTCATTGCTCTCAAGAATGTCATCTAGGACTGCCCGCACAAGTTTTGCCTTGTGTTCAAACGCACTGGCCTGCTTGGACAGGTTCAGAAGCGTACGTAGCTTTTGTCGATCAATGTTGTCCTCGAGTTCCGCGAGGAGACTGACGACTGGAGTACGCACAGATTCCAATTCATTCCTTAGTTCAACGACAACCGCATTGAGTACTGCATCTAGAACTTCAAACTCGTATGGTGGAGGTGCAACTCCGTCAGTACGGTCTGGCCGCATCCTGATTTGAAGGTCTTCCACAAACGAAGCTTGAACACTTGAGGTGCGTGTGCCGTCCATGTCGAAGAGCAAAACGCCATCTCGTTTAATTAAAACCTTGAGGTATAGGAGATTCAGCAGTATAACTGCAGGCCGTATGTCGACATGGGGCAAGTTTGATGTATCAATCTTGCGCATGTCACGGGGGAGCAGCCCGTACTAACAGGTCAGCTTGTTAGCCAACGGAGTGATTTTGATGGAGTTGCCTGCTCACTCTCGTAACCAGTTCAGACTTCTTCAGCCTCCCATTCGCAACCAATACCTGGCCCTTTGGCCCGAATTCCGTACATCTTAGTTGTGGCACAAGGCCAGTTTTCCTCGGTTGGTGACTCTGGCAGTGCAGCATTGAGCTTCTACTGCTTCTTTTCTGGCCTCCAGCATCCTGCGGCTGGGATAACCACCTCTGCAGGGTTGAGGATGAACGTGGTCGTTCGGCACCATTGGCCTTGGCATGAAACGGCCCAGTCCTAGGCAGCCGGATAAGGAAGCAATTGCCACGGTCATTACGTCGGACGTAATTTGGCGGAAATAACCGCGTGCCCCCTCGCATTGATGACAGGATCTGGGCCACATGCACCTGAGAGAACTCGAGGGCACGCGACGCGTTCACCTGAATCCACATTCTGCTCCGTGAGCGGAAAAGATTTTGCTTGATAAAAAGGCAGCCCTGTCCGATTGCGTCGATATTGATGGTGACGTCCATATTCTGGTACCCTGCTGCCTCTTGGAGCCAACGCAGCTCAATCAATCCGCAGCCCGCATGCGAATGCAAAATGGTCCAGGTTTCTCAACCCAACTTGCGGACAGATGTCAGCTCTGGCCTCGGCGTCTTTGTGCAACCAGGTCAACTTGGCAATCTCTCTGCTGTGGGCCAGTGGAGACGATCCAGGTTCTTGTCATGCCAAAAGATCAACGGCAATGCCAACACTTTTTGCCCTATCGCATTTTTCCGACTTCAATTTTGCTTCAATGAAATGCCTATTCATGCAACGAGCGGCCCATTCTGTGTAGAGGCGATGCGATAATCTCCTGCAGCTATACATAAGGTCCGATGCCAACATGAGCCCTTACCAATGGTGTAAGCAAAGCTGCACTGCTGGAGCCCGCTTGCTTGAATTCGAGCCTTTTGAAGTTTTTGGATTCTGGCCCCTTGGGCTGCTGCTGTTACCGAATTCGACTCTTTTGAGGATGTTTAGTTCGAGCCCTTTAGGCCGCTGCTGCCGAGTTTGAAGCTTTTGGCCGCGTTGATTAAAGCTGCCAGGAGATTAGCTATTGCTTTTAAATTTCATAGACCTTCATTTTTACCTTCACCTCCGGGGGCGCCTGCGGCGAGCTTTTAAACCTTGGCGCTGCTCGATGATGTTATTGTGAGATGGAATGTGTGAGGCCATGATGTAAAAAAAAGAAGAAAGAAGAATCTCCGTAGACCAGTCTGGTTGAACAAACTCAGTCCACTCAATTGAATCACCATGAAGTCTCCTGGCACAATAGTCGATCATCCCCCCAAACTCTTGTACTCGCTGCCCGACATAATTCCAGTTCGGTCGTCACATTCTTGTTAAGCAAAAACTCTATTGACCCGAACTTCACCGACTCTGCTAGACGTACCGCGCTTTGGTACGCCGTATCAGGCTGCTGTATACCTGTCATCTCGTTCTTACAAACTCGGGATGATCTTGACCCGAACATGGCAGACGACACCGGCTGTCCCCCTCTCCGTCTTGCTGCGGTACAGCGTGATCCCAGTCACGATATTCTTGAGTGATTGGCTTCAGACTCTCGCATTATTCCTGCCTACCAAACCAAGGAATAGCAGCAACTGGCGCTATTCGCAAGAAGCGTGATTACCGATTGCTTAAACGACTACCAAGACGAGGTTTCATTGATGTTGGGTTTCGCGGAAGGGAGCGCAAGGTCAAAATCCTAAATTGCCACACACTTGCTGAATAAACACTTGGAGGAAGTGTTGCATATGAGGCTATTTCAAGGGAAGACTGTTCATTTAAGTACTTGGTTAATATTTTGTACCGTTCTTTATTGCGATTTTTGTTTCTATTCTTAGCAGTTGGCATCATGTTTTAGCGACGGCTTGATTCCCCCGTGTACCAAAACATGTCCTGCATTGCTTCTCGTGGGCAGAATTACGCACGATCTAATAGGTACTCAAGCTAGAAAGTTACATCACATGACGACCAAGAGGCCACCCATTGTATCTGTTGGTCGGCAACAGTGATCAGGCTGGGCCATTCTGAAAGCGACCAAGCCCGTGACTACATATGTAGGGACAGCTTAACACGTATAAAAGATGGAAGTGCCCTCCTCTAGAACTCTGCCCGGAGTTGAACTTTTATTCATCCTCTTTTCCCCCTTGTCTGCTCCCAAGCCAGCCCCCGTCCCCTTCCTAGCGGCAGCCTTTCTCCCCAATTAGGAGAGGACCCAGATCGGTCCATCGCTCCTGTGCAGCCTTCCTCTCTCCAAGGCCGTCTTCGTCGTCCTTGTCTTCTTCGTTGTCGGCAACAATTTACGAGGACGCGAATGGATCGAAAAGCTTTGAGCACGGACAAGACTCATCACTGGTATTCCCCTTCTGACTCTGACAGTGACGAATCCGAGCAATCGACGACTTCAAGGGAGCATTCTTCGACATGCTCTGTTGAAATGCCGAGCGACTGCCAATGACTGCGTCGGTCGTCACAGTACGCACCGACGCCGCGACGCCTCTTGGGCGTAGAGTCTCATTCCACACCGCATCGAGCTGATGGCAGTGCCGATGGAGATGGTCAAGGTCCGTGATGGTGCCTTCGGTCCCGAATGCGCCAGCTGTCTCAGTGCGGATTGGGTCGATGAGTGACCAGTTGACGGATTAGAAGGAAGGTGGCAAATTAACCAAAATGCAGCTTTTCGAGTGTTCGTATTGGTACTTCATTTCACAATCAGCCATTTTCTGGTCAGAGAGGCAGGGCGGCGAGGAAGGCGTTGAACACGGAAACCCCCAGTAGAGAATGAGTATGATAGAAGCGATGTTTCCGGTTGGAATGCCTATAGCGCGCAGCTTATCCTCAGTCGAGTCAAGAACCCAGCCCTCCGCATCGTTCCGCAACTCCCGTGGAAGGTCATAGAAAGCTCTTAGAGCTGTTCTAGGTAATCGCGCTTTTCAATCGTATCCCGGGCCAGAAAACTCGTAGACTAGTAGAGAAGCTTCCAGCTAAGATCATCAAACTCCAGAAACTTTTGGGGTAGTTCAGGATCGAGGCGGTCAAGGGCGCTGCCAAAGCATGTCCCCTGAGCGGCTCGCACATTCAGATCCGCACACCAATGCCAAAGAGACATCTCAACAGATCCCTTTTGACTAGGCACCTCTCCTGCAAGGAGGTCTGGCTATCGATAACGGTTTACAAGCACAGCATCTGGTTGCACGTGCCACGTGGCACTCCATGTAACCAAGCTGAGCGCGCTCGAGTGCGTCGAGTCCGGGACCTGGCTGCAGCTGCGCAATCTGCAATTCCCTCGCAAGCTTGGCGACTGGCTTGCCCTGTGTATTTTCAGGATCTTTGATTCCCGCTGGCAGTGGCGCAAAGACTTGTTGCACGCTCGCCACAGAGGTTCCCATGCTGATGAATACACGCTGGTAGAACTCATCGACGGTGAGCATGCGCGTGTTACGGTACGCCTCGCTCACATCCTCAGCCCGGCTGACAAAGTAGATGCTGGTCCCAAACAAGGCGAGCTGCACCGGCTGATTGGTATTGTCAAAATGCTGCCTTGTGAGTATTAACAGTCTCTTCGGCTCTTTGTGAGCTTGTAGATTGCATTTATATTTGCTTACCTCGCTCTATTGAACAGTTTCTGCGAGTCGTTCATGAATGATAGGCCATGACCTGGAGCTCCTCCGGACACGAGTCGTATATAATGATGGAGGAAAATTTTGGCCTTACCAAGAACTGCGAAAAAAGTGCGCGTTGAGACGGACAATATGCAAATCATCCCTTGGCGCGGTCGTTACTTACCAGGTATCCAATATGGGTATTCCTTTACCTCCAGAGTAAAGATTCGAGGTGTGATTATGAATCGCCAGCACCACCAAGAAGCCCAGCACAACATAATAGCAAGCCAAACAGCAAAAGAACGTTGTTCCTGCAACCACACTTGCAAGGCTCGCCAGTCATTGCTGAAAAGTAGTGCAATTTCCGCCGACATGGCAGCAAAACAATGGCGTAAGCAAGCAAGTGCCAAGATGATGGAGCGGATAGAGCAGTCTGCTGGGTTAAAACTAATATGATTTTCGCTGTCAGTTGTGCGGAAACATCTCGCCTATCTTTGTATTCAAGAATTTCCAAGGCCCCATCTGCGAAGAGAATCAAAAGAGTAATATGCCAGCATACGACAAGAGCTAATTTTCCCGACTCGGTCGCATCACACATCCGGCAAATGCGGCCAACTCAACCTCAATCTTTGAACAATGAGGGAATTCCCAGGTACATAGTCCAAAGGACGTGCCTATTTTCGCAGCCCCATCGGCCCAACTGGATATGCGTTGCATTTCTCTGGCGCGCGCGTTCTGACGACATGGACTGATGCAGTATGCATGCGACTCTAGAAAGCAACTCTCTTTATGCGCTAGTGCTGACTCAAAGCATGGGCACATTACTCTGGAACCCTTCCATGCGACAGTACAGCAGTAGTTGTCAATTCTCACACAATCTACAGCAATACGAAGGAGTTTTTGGCGTCCGCCGCACAGTTGGCTCACAGTATTTATTTCTAGCCAGCCCGTTCCCTGGCTCCGAAAACTATTACGAACCAAGGTCGCACAGTTCTCTCAGTACTCTGTCTGCGGGAGGCCATATGGACGTCCATCTTGTGTCGTGCTGTTGGGGGCCGGATACCCTGGTTCACGGCGCGGTTGAGATGAGTCCAAATTTAACACATACCGGGTAGCTAAATGACACACCACAAACTCTGAAAGGAAAATTGACGAAATACGTAAACAGGGTTAGATTCTGGAGAGAAGCATCGACGGATAACTCGGGTCGAGCGCGGCTTCGCACCGAGCGGCTAGCGAGACAATGCCTACATACTAGGTATGTACGTGCAAGCCGACTTGCGGCTGACGGCACGCTGGTCTCTCTTCCATACCTCACATGGGAACAAGACGCGGCCCTAAGCATTCACAGCGTCATGTCAAGTAACAATTCGGTGGTAAAAATATTGAGCCCGTGTACTGGCAGCTATGACAAGCCTTTGATTGAGACACATACTGTTGGAGATTGGCAGTATAGTTTGTACGTGTTGACTTTCTTGCAACGTCATTACAATTGCCAACATAGTCTCCAACAGTCAGCATTCGCGCCCTTGCCACAACATGGCCATCCGCAAGGGCGGCAAACAGACAACTAATTAGGCGAATATTTAAACAACAGAAATGGCCCCCCTCCGCCAAATCTCAAGTCAAACACCGCTCGACCGTATCTTGTCGTCCAAGCTCACCTCCTCCCATGGCCTCCCTCGCCCTCCAATTCCGCGTCGCAGATGTCGCTGATGCTCCGCAGATCCAGCATCTTGTAGAATCCGCCTTTCGAGCAAGCGATCCTCGTCAAGACTGGACTGGCAACGTTGAGCTCGCGTCCCACTTCCGCCTCGCCATGGACGAGGTACAGTCAAAGCTCATCAATCCCGACGTCGTCACGCTCGTAGCCCACGACGCAAGCGATCCAGCGGCCCTCGTCGCATCCATCGAGGTATCAAAGCACGACGGCGCCGGCCGCCTCTCCATGATTGCCGTCGACACGTCCCACCAGCAAGGCGGCGTGGGGAGACGGGTCCTCGAGTATGCCGAAGACTACTGCCGCCGGGCTTGGGGCGTCAACAAGCTTTCGTTGAATGCTCTTTCTACGCGCAGCGCGCTCATTGAGTGGTATATGCGCCGAGGTTACGGGAAGACGGGAGAAGCGAGCCGCTTTCCGGCCGAGAGGTTCCCTGAGCTGGCTCTTCCTGGGGATATATGTTTTGTTGAGCTGGAGAAGAGCTTGTGACCGCTGTTGCTGCCAACTCCCCCCGGGCGCCCTGCCTGCGGCAGCCCCTGAGCTCCTACAACTCAAGGTATCAGACTCATTGAGTACCCGGCCATAATAAGTGCTGCAATTTGGGTTCGGGGCTTGTGGCTTGTCTACGGAGTAAGACACCACTTTGTAGCGCAACGCCGCACCCAACGGTGCTGCTTTGATAAAAACGAGGTAGATATGAGAAAACAAAAACGTATTGTTTAGTAATCAACATAAATACATGTTCATATCCAATGATGATGCGACACAAGTATACTGCTTGAGTCCTGCGAAACGACATAAATTCCCTTCGACAATACCACCAGTGGGACAAGGTTGCCCATCACTCGCTCATTGGTTTTCTAGGTTCTGCTATCAAACATCTTCTTTCAAATTAATAACTAAATATAACGTACTAGAAGCCAAGATGCAATCAATTACTTGATAAATCAGATTCTCACTAACCTTTCTTCCACTCAGCTCTTCACATTACAATCGTCAACTCCCCAGTCTCGGCTTCGTTCTAGTTTTGATCAAGCAAATCTACGCCGAAGACGTGGCGATGCGCGAAGCATAGTGAGTGCCAAGATGAAGCCGCCTAGCTTTGCTTCTTGAATATAAGTCTATGAATGCTGCTCCACCTCAATTACTAGCCTCACATAGTTTAAAACTTAGATTACTACTATCAGCTCCAATTTTACTGTTAGTGCGTGTTTTTGTGGATCGTCGCCATCTTGCCGTTTTAATGTCAAGGGTTGTAGGCACCTTCCTCGTAGCTTAATCTTCTCGCTAGCATTGAACCTCGCACTTTTGATCTCACCACAACATCATTAAACAGCGCCGCAGACTGAAACCCACCGCAGGCGGCGTCCAGAGGGTAAAATAAAAAGAAGCTCGACGAAATTTAACGGCTGTAGCTAACTTTCAAGCAGCTTCAATCAACCCAGCCAAGACGCTTCAGATTCAGAAGCAGCAGCAGCCTAGGGCCTAGGGGGCTCGAATTCAATAACCTGAGAAGATTCGATTCTGAAAGCTTCAAAAGACTCAAATCTAACAGCAGCAGCAGCCCAAGAGTCTAGAACTCAGCAGCAACAGGTAGCTCGATGCAAGCGGCCCCTGGCAGGGCAGCTTTGCTTCCACCTATGATGGCAAGGGCTCACGTTGGCATCGGACCTAGTGCTAAATTCTTTCCGCCTACTTGGTATTTGCGACAACTCACATCTATTGATTTTACACACCTACTACCAACTACTTTATTGCATCAAACGGCACGGACAGGGTCGTTCCAAGAATCGCACTACAGCAGACGCGCTTGTTCCACGTCCACTACGGTCAAATTCCCAGGATTCACAATGGTCTTTTTAGATCTGACAGCGCCGGGAATAGATGATGCTTGACACCGTGGCCATTCAACGGCTCCCTCCGGTCAAAGTTTGTTTGGATCTGCTGTTACTACGGTGCTGGCCATATCAGAATAGTATATGTGAGACGTGGTGTTGAATGGGACCCCCGGGTCGTTCTGCATGTAGGCCATATCAGACGCCTGGGGGATGTCCTCCCAACTCTCCGCCTCCAAAGGACAGGATCGAGCATCGAAGTGAAGCCTCCAGGTTGGAACACCTGCACTTGGCGTGTGGAAGGCGTTCTATCGGGCTCGGGCAGGTGTATGCCATGTCCGACACTGCGGCACCGATTCGATTCCACGGTGTGCTATTCAGCGAGTTTTGCCACAGTAGCTCAGGATGCGTATCAGGGTCCGGATACAGCTCATTCAGCAGGGCGAGATCTTCATTATTGGTATTGAGGTTGTTCCAGTGGCAATACTCGACTAAATCGTCTTTCGTCTCGAGGTTCTCTGGTGCGGGGGGCTTGCCCTCGTCGCTGCAGTGCGTGGTAATCACGGGGAGGTGGAAGAATGTGCCGTCGATACCAGACTGTGAGCCTCGATTTTCGAGAAATGGCCCACCAAGAGCTGGTTTGGAAGGACCAGCTTAGCCGGCAACCGGACTTTTCGTATAGACTGGTACTTGTCTCGGCAACCCTGGGCTGCCGGTGCTTTGCGAAGACAGTTCATCATTTTCGAGTCGCTTCTATTCGTTCAATAGTTGAAGCGGCCATCAAGGCCTCACAAGCTTGCTTGTATCTTGGGGCTTCAGGCGGCGGAGGCGGCGGATATCCCTTGGTCGTTGCTAAGGGGGACTGCATAATCGCTCGGGCGAATGTAGGCTTGCCCTTGATATCGCGGTACTGGAACGACGTAGAATGCGATCCGGCCGAGACACCACCGAGGATCACTTGCTTGGCATCTCCGTCGAAAGAAGACAAGTGCTTCTGCAAAAACTTGGGCTGGAATTGCTGATCCCGGACAAGATTCAACAGGCCCTCTCCTTTGAAAAGCTCGCTTGACAGGAACGTCAAATAGGTAGTTGAATCTAAGCCCAGCAACGGGGATCTTGGAAGAAGCAGCAAACTATGCGCCGTTAAACCCGCTGCCGGAGCCGAATTGACGGCTTCTCTCTTGTATCCCAACCAGGGTTGGAAGCTTCCGATCCATCAAGACTCCCGCGGTGCACCAGACGTTGAAATTTGGGCAATCCTCGCTTCGTCCGGCGGGATTTTTCTGGTAATGTACATTGGGCCGTACTCTGTCGCATTTCTCGTCTCGTCAACCGGACGGGGGAAGTCTTGGACGGGGGAAAAGCGTCTGTCCCCAACGGGTTGTGCTTCAAAGTCGACTTCGAGCCACGCATTGACAGCAACTGGCAAAGGAAACCACTCTGGGTTTGGAGATTTTGGCTCCAGCAAGAGGTGCCTACCCTG